TAATCTCTGTTGAAATCTGTTAATGAAATTTGCTTTTATTCTTGTTTAGTGTATTGTGTATTATATTTACGTGTGTAATTTTTAATTAATTCCTATAATTATTTGGGTTTTTTTCTGGCGGTTGAATTTGCCTGAATGATTGTTCTGTAAAAATGTCAAATTTTTTTAAATTTTTTTATAAGCTTACGATACCTTCTTACGTCTTGCCTTTGTTACCTTTGTCATGCAAATTTCACTAGATTTTATTTATACAGATTGTATTTCTTCTTGAACAATTCCTGTACTTATGTGCAAGTTTTTTTAAAAAGTGGAGTGCAATGCCTACTGATTAAATATGTAATAAATTTTATCTGTCTGAATTGCTGTTTCCTACTTTTCTCTAATTCATCTCATGCCATATGTAGGGTTATAAAATTGCATTTTTTCGAGTTTTTTTAACCTGAAATATTGGTGATGCATGACACATCAGATTAACGAGAATATCTTTTATATTTGCAATTGGCTACGAGTTTAGTTTTCATCAATCGAAATTAGTTAAACATCCTGAGGTTGTGACGTATCTTCTAGTAGGCGGAAACTTTTATAAATAGCTTCATTTCGAAAATTTTTGGTCATAGTGTTTCGACGAATGTTTGTTCTGAGCGTAGCCAACAGATCGTAGAATCACCCATGTTTCAGTGTCTCTATTTCGAAAATTATATTAGATTACGACTGACAGGATTTAATTTTTTGCAATGGAAATGAGTTGAACAAAACAGCTATGCACAAATAATGTATCTAATACTACACAAATTCATAAAATCGAGGGGAGCGTGTCTAACTCCAAGGATATTTTTTCTGGTCTTACTATTTGCAAGTTAAAAACGCTCTGTTGCACCTCAGTAAGCATATCCTTAAACGCTTGAAATTCGTTAAAGCTTGTACAAATAGTGTTAATATTTTTGTTAATATATTAAGCGCAATATTACTCGAAGTGAGATAAGTTTGTTTGATTGGATCAATAATCTAAGCCCATCACTTTGTCAGCGTCACGGGGGTCAGCAGTTGTGCTTTTTCGGGGTTTGATGGCTTTGGACGCTCAGGGAAATGAGGTTGGGTAAGTATGACGTGTAGTTCACTATGTTTGTTTATAGGAAATTGTTTGTTGGTGGATTACACCAGTCTACAAACACAAGTAAGTCCGTTTGACTTCATAAACTTTAAACTAAAGATGGTCTGCACAACTACTTCTCCAAATTTGGGGATATTGAGGAGTCTATTGTAATGATGGACAATAGAACAGGCCGGTCGCGCGGTTTCGGCTATGTGAAATTTAAAGAACCGTCTGCAGTTGATCAAGTATTGTCTGAAAAGGTCCATGTAATCGATAACAAGGAAGTCGATCCGAAGAGGTGTAATATAAACATGCGTGGGAAGGCGAGTGTATATCGTTTCATAATTTTTTTAGAATAGGAGAAGTCTCAAGATATTTGTTGGGGGTATCGCCTTTGAGCATGATGAGGAAACTATCCGAACTTTTTTCCAATCTTTTGGCAATGTATTGTGGTTTTGCGTGTATTTATTTCCTAGGTGACTGATGTTAATCTTCTATCTAACCCAGGAAGACCACGGCACCGTGGTTTTGCTTTCGTTGGATTTGATGACGAGGAAGTTGTGAAAAAGCTTATAAAAATGCATTATATTAACCTAAATGGCAAACAAGTATCCACAAAATTTGTTCAAACATGGCCCTTTAGGTAGAAATTAAGCCAATGGAGCCTCCGAACCCACAAAAAACGACAGGATATATGTCACCTAGTGTTCTGAATGTGCATAACAACGGTCGGCCCGTTCGTGGTTCCGGTCGAATAAATTCCATCCATTCACACGTGTCTTGTAAGTTAACCAGTATAATTTGAAAATCAGCAAGTTTGTACCTAAGCTATGCTCTTACGTCTTTTACATATCCCGTTTTTATGCCACATTGCAACAAATCTAACTAAAGTCGCCTTACTACCATGTAAATACTATTGCTTCAAACAAATTCCACTTTTTAGTCGAAATTATATTGCTCCGTGATCGTTATTACTTAGGAAGTAGGTGTTAGTTTATTCGCTGATGGACGCTTTGTGCATACTAGCAACCACAGCTTGACTCACAATTTTCAGTCGTTTTATACACTTTTTCCAGTACGAGTCAACTAAGAATCTGTTTTCTCTTACTATGTCGCCTTGTTCAACCCACTATTTGTGTTGCATTCGCTACCATCTTCATCGCTATGGCTATCGCCTCGCTGGTCTGTAATTTAAACTTGTCAAGGTCCGAAGCAAGTATGAGGTTAACCCTTTTTGGTGAAATCGCTTTCAACTCTACTAAACTCTTGCCATGATTTACTACTCATCTAATTGTGTGAAATCAATTCTTTCTTTCTAAATAGATGGGAGTTGGAACCAGTGGAGTCATAGTGGCAGCGGTGGCAACGGGGTAGATATACCAGGTGGTGTTGGCGGCACTAGTGATAACAGTTGGAACCACATCTTGAACCACCACGCCCTCACGCCCTGGGGTTCTCAGCTACCGCCTCCATGGAATGGTCCGGCTTCTTCGGCTGGTAACGGCCCTTCCTCTTCTCCGTTAAACGGTTGTTGGGATAACCAAATGGCTGCTGCAGCAGCGGCAGCTTTTCAATCGAACGGCTTCACATCACCTCAACAGCAGTGGGGCTCGCAGCAGTCATCAAACAGGCGTAAGTGTCGTCACTCCCTATTCCATGTATTCCATCGGATTTTACAAGTTGTAACGGTGGGATTTAATCGCAAATCCGCTGTCTCATATGATCCGGTTTCAGCATGGTGACTTGCTTCAAAAATTGACAGTTGTGAATAATGTAACCGTGAATTCCCGCGTCGCCTTTCTATGAAATTCATAGCATTAGCGGTGACTTATTTTTTTGCTTAGGACGCTCATTGAAAGATACAATTTGTTATGTTCTTTTAAGTAAATTGATCTGTTCCATTGTAGTGGCACGTTCGAGGTGTCGATTCTCGAAACGTTGATAGCTTGTTCCTACATTTTGCATTAAAATACATCGGTCGCAGATTTTGCGGGATTTGCATTTCCAGAACAATTTTTGTATTCCCCTTACTAGTAGACTCATGCTTATCCAAAATTGCCAGCTTTTTTGTTAATATCATACTGGCCTAATTATTAAACGTACATTAGAAGGACCTACTGGTATCGCATAGTCGACTTATCGCTCTTGGGGTAGTGTATTCAAAGCGTAGCTAATTTAGCATCCAACCGCGGCACAAGTTGACTTAAACCTTGTCAGTAGGCCCTCGTGTACGTCTGATGTGCTCATTTGTCCTAACCGATTCAATCGGAAAATCAGTTAATTTTTATGTAAAATAATTTGCGATCAAAAGAATGTCACTTGAATATGGTCTGAAGTGTTTGAGAGATAAATTTCGTATTTTGTGTGATACAAATTTTGCTGTATATTTCCACTATTTTATATACGAAATGCCGATGTCATTGTTATACTTATGTAATTAAAAATTAGCTACCTGTATTATGCTAGCCCGTAAATTTTTACGCCTACCTCTTTTGTACTTTATCACTGGTTCACTGACATTATTATTGGTAGGTCCAGCAAGTTCAGGGCTGCACAGAGGCGGCATTGATCACACTCTGATGGATTATAATTCTTGGGGACCTCACCAGAGTGGAGTTCCCCACCATCAGAATCATCCGCCATCCGCCAGCGATCACTTCTCCCAGCACAATACCGTTGCCGGCGCCAGCTGTGGTGCTAGCGGCGGCAACTTTACGAGCACCTGGGGTGTTCCCAGCGACACCGCCAATCAGTGGGGTGCAGGCACTGGCAGTTCGGCCGCGCTCTGGGGTAGCGGTACGACTGCTGCTACCGGTTGCAGTAGGCATGATCAGAACGACTCTGCTTGTAGTACTGGACTTGGTAGTGCAACGAATCTCGGCGTAGGCACCTCTGTGACTGGTAGGTTAGATTGATTCTTCGTAGGTTGTTCTCTCTACCTCTTTGTTGTGTTAACCCGTCAATTGGTGTTTATGCAGACCACGGTCAATATTATGATCAGTAAATTAGCAACCCGATTCACGAATGCTCTTGTCAATATTGGTATCATTGCAAGTATAGCGAAAAGTTATAATAATACCTATCTGGCACCAACCTGTGTGATTAATCTGGTACACTGAGCGCCGTTCGCTCAAAATTAAATGCACAAGGTCAAAGGCTCTTGTGTAATCACATTGTGTTTTAGAAAAAAACTGACTTTGTACCCTGAGTACATTCTCAAGCGAAATATAGCGTAAAGCCTCCCATATAGTCTTCATTTCAGTTGACTTGGTGAGGAAGCAAAACATCTGTTGTTGTTTTTGCCAAGATTCACCACTTTTGGATTGCTTTCTCCGTCTGTAATGTTCACATAATTAAGCTTTACATTTCTTAAGTCTCTTTGTGCAATTTTGATTCATTCGCACGTGTAATTATTTAGGAAAATATATACTTACTAAAAAGGCTTAGTAGTTCAACTTTCTACGTTTTGCAAATGTTTTACTGTAGCTTTCAAAATGGATGACGATCTTTATCGAGCGGCTTCAGGCGGAGGAAACACCAATGTGACTGGAATAAGTTTTCCTGGCTCTGGAAGCGACTGGCAATCTGCACTGGCGGTTGCTACTGTGACCGCCCAACAACGTTCTGTGTTGGCAGCCGCTGCAGCTTCTCAATTCAAGCGATGAACGCATTATTTCCTCCTACCGCACTCTACGTTCTACTTATCGTTACCCGAGGTCTATTTTAGGCGTCTTTTTTATCTCGCATCAATTTTTAACCTTGGTAGGATGATTTTGATGGTGTTGACGTTGGTACGACGAATATTGCTTTCATTTACCTGCCCTCACTATTTTCGTTTGAGTCAATCAGTTCCCCGTCCTTCCTCAACAATCATGGTTAGCTGTGATCTACTCTCCTCCTTTTTCCCGTGTACAGACCGCGTACTGTAACTTCATAACCCCTCTTCACCTATTATCGTGAACTGGACCAAATCTAATGCCTCTACTTAAATACTGCGTAAGTTTAATCACGGCGACAAATATTACTTACCGCACTCCCGCAAAACAAATGATTACGTAGCTGTCTTATTTTTTCCCCAAATAGTGTAATGACACCACTATTATTGTGGCTACCGTCGTTTTATATTATTGAGTCCTGTTACACATAGCTGCCTGACCCTATGTATTCCCTGTCTCCTATACATATATACATACAGATACTATTGGAAGAAAGAGCCGTCTTTTCCGTTTTAGACACCCTGGACCCACTTTTAGCCCGATTTAGCAGACATTTCCTTATTACTTAATAATGTAGTGAGTTACGTCCAGTAACGCTAAGTGATAAATAGGTAGCCGAAAGCATCTATCCCTCATTAGGCAGTTCTCAACTCCATCTCGTGCCTTTTGTCTTTATTAACTTGGCATCGTCTGCATCTGACTTGGCGCATGGTTCTACATTCATTCTTGCGTCCTTTTGCAGCTGAAAGTCGGTGCATGAACATTCCAATCTGTGTGTGAGAAACGCTTTGGCTGTTCCAATAAATCTGCGGGGCCAGGATTAGCCGCGTTGATTTCATGGTTATAGCGTAACAACTTAAGGGTTTAATTACTAAATTATTTTTTGCACGCACGAGTTTTGATCATCTGTTTTAAACTGTGTTAGTGAGGCGATACATTTTGCACTGCACACCCCACAACGTAGCTGCGGCGATTCTCGTGCTGGTCATTATTTCTTAAATACCTGACTGAAACCATCCTCTTAAAGCGAGAACGATATTGGCTATGTAACGCCTTGTAAAGGGTTTAAACACATGAGGCGATTCGCGGAAGGTTATAACACTTGAGGTGAGACGTCAGTTGCTCTGACAGTGTGTGCATCGAAATTAGCTGTAATCGACTAGCTTGCTTGCCTTCAATCTTTCGTAAAGCAGCTATTGGTAGGTTGATGGGACCCTTGGTGATAATTCAGCGAATCCGCAGTACACTAATCACTTGACATTCACGATATGTTCACAGTCACCGTAGTGTTTGTTCTACATCGCACGCTGTCGTCTAATAATGGTCACAGCACAAATAAGAGGATTTAGCACTTTGTACACTCGAAATATGCATTTTCTAAAACAGCGTCGCTATTAGCACAAGTCTGATCACAATCGACTGCTCCACAGAACAGTAGAAGACAACCAAAGCGAGTTTCGTCTTCTAGAGGCAAGGGAGAAAAGCACCAGCAATAGGGACGTGTCATCGTTCATAAGGTGTTAGGGAAGGAGGACATTGGAAGACTCAGATGGGCAAGAGTTTTGATTATGCCAATTGCAGTTGAATTGTGGCGTTCGGGGCACTTTCAGTGGCTCTCTGGGGTGAGATTTGGAGAGGGTGTGCGCGGTTCGGGTCCCACCAGTGCCAGCATTTAAGGGATTCCACTAGGGGCTAGCTCCTGTTAAGGAACCCGATCTTCCCTGACCTACAGTCGGCCATATAAAAATGCAGTTAATTGGGCTTAAATAGCGGCATTGAGGTGATTCGTAAGTAGGTAAATTACCTTGATTGAAAGCTGGAGGATCGACTGGAGTCGCGTAGGATGACGTCGGGGGGAGTTCGTCAGAGATGGGGATATACTGGGTACCGAGGTAGTCGTTGCCTGACTGTTGGTCAGCGGTCCCATTTGTTCGAGCATACTGAAAGAGGCATGTTGCTTGTAGTAAGAAGAACATTCAAAAAATGAACCAACTTGCAGTTATCAAAGTGCAATCCATGATAAACCCACGAAATTTGTAATAGGTAGCCGTGTATATAAACAAGAATTTCGGCGGTGTCAGCTGTTGGATTTTCTCTAAATAAGACTAGGTGTTCAAATGGCCTCGAATTGGTCCGTGCATAAATCCATAATATTGGTGTCCTTTGTCTCTAAAGCTCTTATGTCAAAACGGTTAAGAAATAAAATCGAAAAAGTTATGTGGCGTTTATGCTAGTATTTTAGAGAGATATTTCACATGATGACAAGACTGAGAAAGGCCTTGCCTCGTTCGGCGTGATTATTCACATTAAAAAAGTAAAGTGAACGTAGTTCGTTTGAATGAGTAGGAAAACCATGGGTCATTTGGTGACGCCTTTCTAACCTTAAACATGGCCAGTAAGTCTATATTCTCTAGGGCTTCATGTACAAAATTGACGAAGTATTTTGACACTACATGAACAGTGATGAGTTGCGGCGGTACCTGTGCCCTGTGTACGCCGCGGAGTACTGAGGGACCACGCTAAGTATATACCTGCTAAACTAAAACGACTAATACATTGAGTATTACACCAACGTTTGAACTGACACCGCATCTTCCTGTTTACCAACTGAACACAATGTGTTTTTTGAGACAGAACGAATTTGGATATTTGTGGATGGCTGAGGAAATTTTGATTTCATTTATCGCCAAAATCGAAATACTTATGCTGTGCATTCTTGATTTGCCTAAAATTAAATCGATTCGAAATTTTGGGTGATTTTTGGGAGTTTAATAGCGGAGGCAAGAGGCGCAATCAAAAGCACCTACAGTGAGCATGACAGTTGCAACGAATAAGTTTTTTTAACGCAATTAATGCAGTCATTTGAAGCAGGAACCTTGCTTTCCGCCTAGTCGAATAAACATAGTTTTATTGTTTTTAGTAAAATATAAAACCAGGTTATTAACACCTACGGCCATTATGCTGATTATTTATGATTTTGCACAAACGATTAGGTTTCATCAGTTTAAAAAATTTAAAATACAAACCACGGAATTTATATTCACCATTACACAGAACAATTTTAATTAACAACGTCATGCAATTAAGTCAAGTGACCAAACAAACTTGACTTCTGAGCCTGACGTAGTTGGGAAGAAGAAAGTAATACTGCTGCAATACGATTAAAAAGAAACCACGGCTGACTCTCATGGACACCACCTGAGCGATGTGAATGGAGCATTGTCCAATCAGAGTGACGCATCAAAAACCAAATATCTGTAGCACGACACCACTTGGCTGCACTTCACGACAGTCACCCAAGAATGTATTTATTAATTAGGACTAGGCGTTCAACGGCAGTTGCTCGACATTCCAGACTTGATCTTACTAGACTTCTAACATACGTTAATGCCGGTGAAGCATAATTTGTGTATCTAAGTGGTCAGAGTTCAAAACAATGAAGATATGTGTTATCAATAAACTAGACAGTAACATAAGCGGAATTGAAATGAAATCGAATTTTCAGACGTTTAATCATCACCTTCGATTGAATTCGCCAAGATTGACGACCTACTTTTCAGAGAATCTCAAAAATGCTCATGACTAAAGTTTAACGGCTGTAATTTTTAAAAATTAATGTGGACGTTATAAGCAAGCTTGCTCCCTACAAAAATCCAATATGCTTTTTTTTATTTATAAACAACTAATCCACCTCCTAATGCATTAATTTATGGCATGCACTGCTTTTAACAAACAAATAAAGTCAAACTACCTTAACCGATGCTAACGCCAAAGAACTGGTATTCTGAGCTGTTTTGTTGGCAAGACAGGAATGTTTCTATTTGAGCTTAAATTCTACATACATAATGTTACCAATGGCAGTTAGTGATTTGTTAATTTAATGAAACATCAGAGAATGAAAGCTTCATTAGAAGACGCGATTCTTCTACCAACAATCCATTAGCTGGGAATTCATTTAACTGAAATTTTTACTCACCCTAAAGGCAGGCAAGTCCTGAGTTACCTACTGCACAAAGCTTACATTTTGATAAACCTTAAAACGCCGTCCTTCGTCAGTGCCAAAGTGAAATTCCATTGCAATTTCCAGGTCAATGGCGCTGCCAATGCCCAGAGATCAAGCTTAATTTTAGACAATGGTGTCTAACGGAAGTTTTCTAAGCAGAAATAAAATGTCACAATCGTTGTACTCACCGACTGGGTGCATGTCTGGTCGAAAGACTGTGATGGTGCATTAGGGGATGCTGTCACCGAGATAGGGTTAGCAGAAGCGGAAGCAGGGATATTGAGGTACCGTCGGAGACGATTCAACTGATCTTCTAGTGCCTTATTGTGGTCTTCTAAAAGCTGCATACGGGACTCCAAACGAGTTTTGTGTTGCCGTAACAAACGTGCCTCTTGCGCCAACTCTCCTTCTTGCATGGTAGGATGTGCGGGTTGCTGATTTGTCGGCATTGGAGTAGGCTTGGCTGTGGGCAACTGATAGCGTTGATTGCCTTGTTCAAAACCCAGCCTACAGGAACCACTGCCACCTCCGCTACTTCGAAGGAAAGCAGCGTGAGCGGTAGGACCGGAAGCTCTTCCAAGTGAACCACCATACAATATCCCATTGCTGGACGGGTAGATGCGTTCGGTTTGGCTTCTGTAAAGTTGTGACGGCAAAGCTCCATAACTATATATACAAGCGGAACCGTATGTATAAAAGTCTATCAGGAAGATACAGCCCAACCACTTTCACCTTACATCTTGCTGGAAATGGTGCTACAAGAAAAATGGATGACATCTGTGTGCTGGCGGTTAGTGACAGAGTGAATAAACACTTTCGACCTGGTCAGAAATCGACGCTTTCATTATATTTTAACAAACAGCTACTGTAGCTAATTCGTCTCGTTTCAAAATTACCCAATATTCTAACAGCGCACCAAGAAAATATTTTTGACGGATCAAACACTTGCAAAAAACTGCATAGATCTAAATCCCACTTCAAAAACGCGGGGAACTGCCTTATTTAAAAAAAAATTTTGAGTCAGCCTGTACGCCGTCTTCCAAACATTCTTCATTCGCAAAAGCTGTAGCCTGTAGAAAGGTGAGGTGATCACGCGTTCTCTCCTTTCTACGAATAACAACAACTGACCGGGCACTACTCTGCAAAGGCTGACACGCCCTTTGGCGTTCTATCTAACAGGTTGCTTCAAGCTGGTCGGCCGTAAGAGCACCGAACATTAATATTAGGAAGGATTAGAAGGACTAATCCCAATTAGTTGATCATACAAATGTAGACTAGTTGGAATACGTTAGCTGCATGTCAAACCTGAAGTTTAGATAAATAAGAAGGTCATGCTAAAATGTGAGAATATATCAAGTGAAGGAGTACCACGAGTCGAACCGTAACTAACGCAAAACAGAGTAAAAGTGCTTACTTCGTGATGCAACTTTGGTTGGCCGCCATTAATCCAGATAAAAGATTTTTAATGGAAAGACCAGTTACTTCGATATATACGATGGTGACTTTGTAAGTAATACCATTAAACCGGCTACTTTATCACCATATAACCATATCACTATATCTATATAACTCATAATGTGTCTTAGAAATGCAAATGGATTACCAAGGTGGGCATCTAAAATGAGGATGTCAGCGTGTTTGTGCAAGAAGCATCCCATTTCAACAATCAGTTGCCATAAGACAGGATTTCCTTTAAAAGTGGAGAGCATAAAGTGCATTCCCGGAATGTGTGAGGTAAAATACATGCATCGAGTCATTGAGTTTTAAGTCAATTTTGTGCAATTTACAAAGCTCCAATGAATTTCGCCTTGACTGCCAACGTAATTTTTTTTCAGAAATAATTGAGGAATGAAATCCCAAATGAATCAGACACTTTTGCAGCCATGCGGTAGATCTTGTCAAAACTTAAAATTCAGCCTGGCGAAAATTAAAAAAAACTTACTTGTGGATAAAAACCTCACCTACGAAATTGAAACTTTACGCGTCAAAGTAACCCTTTCGATATACAACCTTTTTTGCTACCTCGAAATTGGTAATGCTGAAGGCTGTAAAATCTCAACGAATTGTCTGATTTCAAGATGGGTAAGTTGGGATGGGATGAAAAAACTTCTGTTTGAACCAGAAAGGTTAAGCACTCTCGTCAAATTGTCAAACCACAATATGAAGTGGAACTTGCATACCCTTGAGGAGGGTTCATAGGAGGGTACCCAGGAAAGTAGGGGTTTCCGTAGTATGCGGGAGAGTGATATCGATCCGCTTCAGGGTAAGCTCCTGGCAGAGATAGCGGATACTGCAGTGAAGGCGACCGCATCGGCCGCAGGTTTTGACCCGAAGAATGTAACCGCAGCCAATCATATTCTGCCCTTAAAAAGCGATTTTCCTCCTCCAAGTTCATTAAGACCTACAACAGCATGGGAGAATTATTCAAAAGGGCATTTTTTGTTTCTGGATTGTTCACTGTATGTGTTGAACTGCACCGGCGAATGTGCTTGAAGCTGGGCATTCCAGACATCTGCTAAGGACTTCTAATGCCTGTTAGATTTAATGAATAAAATCATTACAAACATAAATTTTCTGACAGCAACGAAAAAAATCAGGACCAGTAAGATTTTTTAGCGCGAAGCGTATGGCAGCAAAACACGTCAGGCTAAATCACCATAACCGTAATGGATGAGATTACAAACTCACCTCGTCCTCTCGCTCTTCTTTGATGGGGTGAAATGAATGAGAGTACTCCTAATTTAAAGATGAGTAACATGAACTAGAAAACTAATTAAACCTTGTCTACGCGAGCTAGTACAACGGTTAGATGTGCATTTAAATTATGACTGATTTTAACCCACCTTGTCAAGTGAGCCTGCACTGCCAGCAACCACAGGACCGGTCCAGCCATTAGAGTTTCGATACCAGTTGGCGTGACTGTTGATCGGCGGACCGGAGACAAAGGCACTTGAGCCCCCGTGAGGAGGAGGGGGCTGAGACGCTGCACGGAATCCGCCGCCACCGCGATACTGATTGGGCCTCATTGTGAAGAAACGTGGTTCAGGAGCACGTGACCGGTCGTAGACGCCCCCGGGGTATTGCCATTGTCCTGCCATCGGGTAGTGCGGCTCTCTCGGCCCCAAGTAAGACGGCTGTTGGCATCCAGGCATTGGCATACCAGTCTTGGGATTATAACGCAAAGGCACTCATTATTGAAATATAAACTCATCTTCCCGTCTAGTGAATGCGCTGAAATTCACTGTGTTTAGTTGTCGAACTTAACCTGTCCTCATTCCTCACCTAACAGTCGCATGTTTTCTATTTCCTGAATAGAGTTTCGAATTGTGAGATGAATTTAGAGCCTATAGCTTTCTCAAAGCAATGTGGCAAAGTCTTTTAATTTACGTAACTTTTCTCCATCGTTGTCAATCTTGATGAAATAAAAGTCTAGTGGCGAGTGCATATAATATGTAATTTTGTGAACGAGGCCATTACACTAGAGTCATTTAGTGTCCAAATGATTCTTCATGTAATAAAATAGAAAATTCGAAATAGCAACTGTAAAGTTCGTATCACTCTCATGGAAAAGAAATTTCAAAATCATTCGAAAACCATTATGGTTGTATTGGAAATACAATTTCAGCCTTGATACCTGGTAATATCAAGAACTAGCGCAATATTTTTCAAAAAAATAAGATCACATTTGCAAATTACAAAAAGTGAGTGGAAAATCTGAACATAAATATCTCCCTAATCCACAATTATAGATTTTTAAAAAAATCGTCCGTGGACCAATTTGTTTTAACAGTTATTTCATAAACCCGAAGTTGAGCGTGTTTATTGCAGCGCAATAAAAGGCTAAGCATGTGAATCAATAAATGCTTTTAATTACATAATCTAATACAGGCTTCTGTAGAAGCAGTCCTAGCTCGTTAATAACAGGACTTAATAGGACTAGAGTTGTGCCAAAATTCCCACGTTATTTTATTGTGAAGCAGAGATAGGATGGGCTATGCAAAGTAACCGATTTTCATTCACGTTGGTTTATGGACTTACCGACGTAAAGGAGTTTTGCCTTCGAAGTGACTGGCTGTATTGGGCAATAAGTTCGTGCTCCTGGTCTATAGAGGCTCCTCTGGGTGGCTTTCCAGCTAGTCTGGGTAGGGAATTATCCCCGCTACTGACACCACCAGTGGCCAACACTCGCTTTCTGGTGTCGCCCAGGGACGCAGGTCGGTTGTTCTGCCAAGCTGAGAAAGCGCGGCTCGGGTGCTGGGCGGCAGTGGAGTTCTGACGAAACGCCGTTGATCTCGGCGGTCTAGGATAAACATATCCACCACAACACTGTTAGCTTCGCAAAATACATCAGCCAACTTCTAGCACCAATTAAATTCGGCTGAATAGGCCGTGATAGCAACAAGGTATAGCAGCCTAGTCGAGTTCCACACCCATAAATGTGGCATCGATTCTTCGCATTTACTTATAGAAGCTTGTTAGAAATGCTGCCCATCCATGTAGACGAAAGTAACTTAATTGACTCCTACATAAAACCTCATTGTACCTCTAAATTGGTAGCTGTCGTGTCCCCTTTGCACGCTGGAGTCACTGCAAGTGTAGGCTAGGAAACTAAGCAAATTTAAGAACAAATTATTTCATGAATCCGGTTATAATTTAAACACCAAATCTGTGAGCCTGAGTTGCCTTTGATATTGGGGTGAGGGGTGAATTAAACTGGGGTAAATACATAACTAATAGCCGAAAGCGATTAATGAAAGTGCTTAGCTAGTAAAATGCTGGGTTAAAGTTTGCTCAAAAGTAAGCGCATTAGCCTGGAGTTATCGAAGGCGTCAAATGTTTAATATGAGTAATTCACAGTGACAGAGCAGACATTTTGAATCTCGGATGTGAAATTTTGTTTAAATAGTACTAATTATCAGTTCAAATGTATAAAATTCATGCTCTCGTCTATTAATTGCTTCATTCAGTTTCCTTTGAAAAACCACAGCCGCGAATAATTGGCAACTCCGACCTTCCACGGAGAGTTAGTTTATGCAACACTTCTTGAAAAGGGAATTAGATTTTCATTGGGAACGAATAGTACGCAGACTGTAGCTAGTGCCACCATAATGTTCTAGGATCGGACAGACGCCACTAGAACGAAAGCTTTAGAAGCAGTGTATTGTCGACAAACCACCAAAGTTCTAAACTAAGTGAAAAGTCAGTCGTTCGGTATTCGTTGTCAAATGTGTACCTACCGGTCATGAAGAGTTGGTGTTGCTAGACCAGTGGGTCGTGAGACCGTGATAGATTTTGACGCATCTTCTGTATCGAAAGAACTTTGGCGGAATTTTTCCTTTGATTTGAAACGATTTCGTACAACGCGTGTGAAGTCACGTAGACTATCGCTTCGTTGTAGCTGAAATATCATACAACAGAAGGCCACGTAAACAAACTCGGTATTTTAAGCAACAAAACGAAATGTGAGTTTTTTTTCAAGTAGACGCATGAGTTTGACATTTTTCACTTACACGTGTCCCAGAAATGTAAACAAAAATCGGGAACGGTCTTACGGTAGAGAAAATGTTGAAAAGGACGGTGCGATATCTGAAGCATTGCTTTCATCTAAATTACTTGGCGTGTTAAAAGTGTTGAGATTGTGGTGTTCAGGTTCTGGATTTCGTTCCGGAAATTTCATTTATGTATAATGTTTGAGTAACAGTGCATCAAATAACGCTATTCAATTAGTTTCGACTTAAATGTAATCTTTAGTTATCGAGTTATTCAGGAGCTCCAGTTTTATCTTGGGGTTTATTTAGGTGAAAAAGTAAATAAATGGGGTGCTACTTAGTTACTTAACAATTCTTAGAAAACCGAGTGTTTGACAGGAGATTCGCATTATAGCTTGCAAACTTTGGCCAACATGTATGAAAAACTACGGTAGATAATGAGTACTATTGCATTATCATATTATTTGACGAATGCAGCGCACCACTTTTCACCATATTTTTAAAAAAATGAAGTAATCATGTCGATGCGCAAAAATTCACCAATTTTAATCTCAACGATTCTAGAAACGATCTCGTTCGAAGTACTACTTAAAACTTTTATCACAAATCGAGAATAATAATGACTGTCTGCACCCTCATAATTAAAAGCTATGATCAACCGCTCACAAAATGGGGCAGCTTGAACTAAGTCACGAAAATTTACAAAAGGTAACCTCGCATGGTCATACCGTGGCGGTGTACTCTTGCGTCGGATGAGTCACCTTGTGACTTTTCTCCACACGTCCGACGAGGAAACAATTTTGGCATATGTCAAAGTTTAGGCATCGCAAACAACGGTACCTGAAACAGAGCAAGAGTTATCTCCATAAACGTCTAAATTCCTTAAGTGTAAATACATATACCAGACGAAGTTATTCCTTGAAGAAAAAGCACAATTTGAAGGGATATTTAACGAGCCTTAGTCAATGGACAAACTGGACAGCGGCCAAATATACACTAAAGGTTCGCATTCAAGTGTCCTTTGCAGTTGAGACGCAAACAAAGTAAGCAACAGAAGTGTCTTTCTCTCCCACATCTTCACTATTGACGAAAATATGGAAGGAGTTAACCCTGTAAATTAAACCAAACCACAAACCAAAGATAAGTGCACACAACGTTCATAAATTACTTTTGCAAGGGCATTTAAATTACGTTTTCCACCGAATTCCTTTTCCGGTTCAGGAAGCTCCGAGGTTGTATGATTTCCCATAACATGAATCCATCTCAGTTATCGGAAAAGCTGGCTACGTCTTAAACGTTTGATGCTAATCCTTTGCCGATTTCGCCAAATGCAGCTTTTTAAAACGTATGGACAAGTAGTTACTGCAGTCATGAAATCTGCAAAATTCAACTTAGGGCACATGGCGATAGGGTTAGCCTGACCGGTCTGGAGTTCATTCAACCATGTGAAATTAGAAAGTGAACGATTCAATCTCCAAGTTGGACATTCACAGATTGATAGTATATTCTGTTAATGACTTCGACCCAGCAATGCCTTACAATTCCGCAGTAGAATATTTAGAGGCAGGAAATCACATGCATTTCTCGTTCTGAAAAAAATTCATTTGAAGAACGCTTCAACCATGTAGATTAGCTGATCAAATTAAATTGGGATACCAGCTGGAGTAAATAAAAAGACACCCGGGTTCGATTAGTTGAGGGTAATCTTATTGGCCATAAATTTAAGCAAAACGCCGGATTCGGTAATCTGGTTAGAGAAATTCCATTAAGCTTAGGTCTACAAATATGGCACCCACCGGAGACCCTTCATCGGGTAGGTCTGGCACACAGCACAGCGAACCTGGTGAGTCAGCTTTTCACCAGCAACTAAACGGTGAAGAGCTGGTACCCAAGCGATCATAGGAGGCTCTAGTTTGAGCCACTCGTAGAAGCGGTCTAGTCCTACACTTGGAAGTGAGTCACCCTCATTGGGAGGCCATGTCACTGACCTTTGGCTCTCCATCGTAGGGGTACGCGTGACACCATTAGGTCTGCTTTCATGGCCACCTACTTTGAGATTCTATAGAAAGTGAAAAGAATAACACAATTGTTATAGTGTTTTATAAAAGCAGTGATAACTAGCTCAACGTAGAAGAATGACATGTCCCTGTCATTAACTTTGACAAAAAACAAAAAAACAAGTTGATTACACCGGAACCGAGTGAATCGTTCAGTTTGAAATTTTTAATCGGTACAATTCAAGGCTACTTCAGAAAATTAATTCTTATGGGACCGAATTAGACGGAGAGATTTGTATTCCCAAATTTCAGCGACATTGGTTCATTTCGCAACGAAGTAAGTGCAACTAGTACTTGCTTCTGATTGACTTGAAATATGCGGATGGATAGATGGATTCGTTAAATAAATACCAGAATCTCAGTTTAAACTTTGCAGGGAAGGAAAAGAATGCGTTGTGTGCCTAAGAATTATTGGGCCAGAGGAACGCGCTCACCGCCCCCACAACCACCACCGTTTTACTGTCATTAAAGCAGAAAGCGATCAGGGTTTGTATCAAACTGTTCTGTCAAAAGCCCTTAACTAGTTCATACAAACCCGAATAAAAAACATATGAGGTCACATAGCATTTATAATGTGACGGTAGTTTTAAAAACGGTGATTCAAAGTCCATAGCTTTGTAAAACATTTTTTTGTCAAATATGGATGTGGATTTATTTTATGACCTGAATAATGGGAATTATATACTCCATTACTTTCGAAGAAAAAAAAACAAATAAGGTCAAAAATTATCGCAAAGCTAAAATGTCAATTTTTACCGATGGTTGCATCTGAAGTTTATTTCAAATAAAACTAAGGCTCTTAAAACAGTCAAGCGAGCGATAACCATTGAAATCCTAGTGCTTAGAGACATTCATGAAAACGATTTTTTTGGAATCAAATGGCATTTTTTTAAACTTTTGAGGCTAACATGAAATTAATTAGATACAAAAGTACAAACGGGTAACGTAAACGAACCCTTTGAGCTAAAGGTTCCACATTTAACTGAAATTTTACACTTACCTTTGCAAAGCACATTAGGATGTTTGGGTCAAGGTTATTGTTTGAGGCTTGAACTTCTCCCAGCTGTCGAGGAAGTTGCATTGTCTCATAGATGAGAAGCCAGAGACGCGAATTGTTTATTTTGTTGTCGCGATCAGCAACCAAACTGAATAAATCTGAAACACAAAGTTAATTTACTGAGCGGTACCTCACTCATTAAAATGAAGGATTGATAAACCTTTCTGGGCTATTTAAATATACACGAAATGGAGATATTGGAGTTCGAAGTTTAGGAAATAAAAACTGCTGTCTACCAAAATTATAAACTATTAATATGTTAGCTTTGGCCAGGTCTCAGGCCCGTAAGATATTCAATGCTGCCATTTTTAAACGAATTTCCGAAGCAGTGATCGTATTGTAGTAGCTTGATCTTAGCACTACCTTACAACCCTCTAATTAACAGCCCAAGACAACTCGAGTATTTCGAACAATTCAGTTTGAAGAACATACGTCACGAATAAATTCAGCGAAGCCACTCGAACTAAACATCTAGAACAGTTGCCTGTAAAAAGATAATGTAGCTATTGGGTCCATCTATTAAGTCCTTTCAGGTAATGTACCGAAAAATGTGGAAGAAGAAAGAATTTCAGAGTCACTCGGGAACTCCAACTAATTCCCATGAAATCGTTTGCCAAAACTTGCAAACCTGAGCGAGGACCACTTGTACTGCAGTGATAGTGGATCTGTTTTTTGTCCTTGATGGGATTTTAGTAGTGTAAATTGAGAATTTTTCCAAATCCCAGGCAAAAAAATGAGTAACTGCTTCATCCAGTCAAAATTCTGAATTTCATGTCATAGTAACCAGCAGTAATCAGCGAAGACAAACAAATGGCTTACATTGATATTTTTCTTCCAAACTTGCATTAATCAGAAGGAATATTGTAACCTTGAATGACAAAACACGGACTGAGCCGTTGCGGGCACTAAAAGGAAAGTCATTCAACACATTCAAAACTAATCATTTTCTAGGCAAAGCGTTAGTGTTAAGAATGGGTTGCTGAATTGTTACAAATTACATTTATCCAGAACACACGATTTCGTAGATGACATTTTGTGCTTCATACATCATACATACCCAATACCATGCCTGTTTGATGATAGCAAAAGTCAAATAGGCTTTTGTTTACACAAACAATAAAGAAAACATTAGTTTATCAACAGTGATTTCAAAATTTTGTCACGACACGAAACCACATACATCGTGTATGTGTTTAATTCTAAAAGGGTTTCGAGTGGAGCCAAACGTAGAAGCCAGAGCGCCAATGGGTGAAACCGGAATGACTTTACACCAAGCTTTCAGCATGTTTGCGTGATTATTTTACATGGATAATTGCAATACATGACGATGTTGGCAAAGTGTAAAACTCTTTCAGAATGCTTCCGGGTTTTGAGAAACCAGCCTGAAACATTGGAAGTGCAGACAAAAGTAGCTGAATAAACTCTAAGGGTTTAACTAATTAAACAAATTCAATGGTTACATTAATTAGGAAAAGGACGTCTAATATAAGTATTAATAGTAATAAACCGTTAAGGTAATGTAGGTTTCGCGTTAGTAATTGAGTTAGATTTCAACGCCCGGAAAATGAAGACATGCAGAATAGCAAGGACCTCATGCAACTACTTTGGACCTAGTGAGTCGGTGGCTATAAGTACAATGAGGCGTTCGTGCTTCATACTTGTCGATAACATCCCCAGAGGTTATAGGTGTGCTGCTAAAATGTCAACAAAACACAACTGATATGGCGGTGCGTTTGTACTGAACATGTTCAGACTCGCTTTTATGGCCAACAAATTGTTTAGGAGACGCTGGCATCTGACCTTGTCTGGAACTAACCGCTGGCCTTAAGCACACGTGAAAGCAACGGCGAAGATTGGACAAACTGTGAAAAATATGTGACCAATTTTCTGTGTGAAACAACTTTGAACGTCGAAATGCAGCTCAGCACTCACATTCCTCTTAAGCAGACCAGTGGGGCACTTTAGTTTCCTGAAGTAGCTGAATCGAATATACATTAGTTAAGATATTTTTACCTTCGTTTTGAGAAGCAAATGGCTCCAAAGTGTTGCACTTAGTTATTTACGATTTGCCATTTTTTGTCCTCAAGTTGGAGAAACTGATCAAAGTACTTGATTTATAACCAAAGTAACTGATGCTCATTGTCTACCATTGAGTCTTGGGCGCTTGAGCCAGCCAATGAAAGTGCGCATGTCATTAAGGAAGTGCAGCTTTTAGATTAGTGGCAAAGTTCAAAATTATGCTGGAATGCGTAGCGATTCGGTAAACCTTTCTACAACGGTGCTGAACTTCCAAGAGTTGACGGTTGAAAATTTTCATTAAAGTGCCTTAATTCCAATCCAAAAAAAAACGTTTAAGATGAAAATTGGACCACCAACCTATCGAAGGAATTAAGAAGAAGGTTTAAGGCCAAATCAACGCAGGTTGGCAGAGAGAATTCTCTTCCATCAGGCAGTTTGAGGATAGTTTGCAATTTATCTACACGGGAGAACGAGGTGGGAACGTGGGATTCGGCAGGGATCAAACTTCCAGGTGACCCGCTTTCATCGGGTTGCGGACCACTTAGTGTTACTGGTCGTCGAGGTCCACCATTCTCAGCGTCCAAATTTTCTTCATCGTCGTCCCTTCCTCGACTGTGTTTGCTTCCCGAAACGCAAAGCACGCTGGTCATGCACTTGATCGCACTGCGGTGGGTAGGAGTCCGCCGTGTCTTTGGTCGGTTTTCAGAGGTAGAATAACTCTCGTTCGTTGACTAAACATAATTAAACGATAACGCATTAATCTGGGCGATGCTTAAAAAGTTCGGGTAAGTTTAAAGTTGCACTAGACGCAGAAACCTCTCACAGCTGAAGAGGCTGAAGCCAATTAAGATTTAAATGGGCTGAAATAGGTGACACACAGAATGACCATTTTATCGGGGAAGAACCATGTCCTCAGAAGGATAAAAGGAAATATTCTGCTTCCATATCAAACTAATGAGTTTGTGTGATTTGATGCAAGCAAACCAGAATCTTTTTTTTTCAAGAAATCCATTTGCTAGTCTGTGGGTAAAACAGTATCCGCATTGTTGATGTTCCGGAAGTAAAAATCACAACTAGCGCAGTATGAGTTGGGAGCAAATAGCGTTTATCTCTAGGCTTCAGTTCGTTTTCCTTGATTCCTTGAATCTGAGTCCCCTTCAGTGTAACCGGATACATTTTCACGGTATTATTTGTTTTATTTTCCCATTTTAATGTTTTGTTAAGTTTACTGCTTAGGCTAAATCTCTATGGTGTGGGGGGGGTTAAAGGTCAAGGTCTGTGCGGATTATCGGCAGTGTTATGCTTCTTTTATCAGAAAACTAGCGATCCGATTCCTCGCTCGACATAATCATTAACAAACAAGACCGATGTTAAATACGTTTGCAGAGGAACCGATTAGTTGAAGAAATGGGAAAGGAATTTCAAAGGGAAAGGTCGGCGTTGGAAATTAAACAGTGAAAAAGTGAGCTGCGGATGATGGAATATTGTTGATTTTAGATATTAAAAAATGACCAATGACTTAGAAATTGACGGGACGCAGAATCCTAGCACATCATTCATTACCAAGTCCCGTTTAAGAAACAGTGTCGTAATGTGTTCTTGTTAAGGCATGGAGCACTATTTCAGGACTGTATGAATAGAGAACATAGCAATCTCACCGCCAGCCGGCCTGCCGCACTTAGCGTTGACTCAGAGGTGCAAGTCTTGCACGCCAAATTCGCGTTTTGTGGGAGAGTCCCAGCCTTTGTCCCACTGACCTCTGGATCGGTAACCTTGACGACGTCGGGTTGACTCACCAGCGTGTCCCAGACTCGACAGTACAGTGTCGTGAGACAATTCACAATCTGGGGCACGTCCATTACACGACCGTCGCACCCTTCACTGCACAAGGGCGATGATAGCCCGTGACGAGCAAAGGTTTCCGTGGCCACATTCAAGGGAATTTGATCGACTGAAACGGAACCAAAAAATTAGGGGTTCCAACACCGGCAGTCAAAACCCACCTTCTGATGAATCCCTTCGCCAAGTTTTCGAAAAGGAGACTTTTCCTTACTATATGTTTGCGACTTGTAGATTAAAGAAAGTCATTTCCTCTTAGTAATTCAATGTTACCGGAAAATGATAGTTTAGATTTGTGCGATAACTTTTTTCCTTTAAGCATTTATGTAATTAGAGCACAAGTGGCAGTTTTGTTAGTACAACACGCGGACACTTGTAAGAGGTGGCAATGAATAGCATTTCAGAAACTGTCTGCAATCGACCAAGTAAGTCTATTCACAAACCGGTACTATTCATAGCCCTTGAGTAAATTACAATTACAATGAATAACTTACCAATGCATATTGCCGAATATTTCCACCAAACTATGCATGGGATCATGGGTTTACTTACGTTTTACGGTATTAAAATGTTTCGTGACTTCTACAACGGCAATCTGCTAAAAGAATGCGTTCCTGCATGTTTTTTTTTCAATTGATTCAAGTAAAATAAGGCATACCCATTTCGGCAAAGGAATATGGATGATTAAATAACTACCCCAATTGGGAGTTCTAGATTACATGTGTAAAATTGGCTGCATTATTAAGTTACTCTGGTAGAAAGATCAAATTAGATGGGTGTAATATGGACTGCAAAATCCTGTCTAATAGAGGTAATCAAGTCGCATTCATCTACTCGGAAGTAGATGAGAAAGATAAAATATTAATAAGTGACGACTTGTCAAGGTCTAATAAATCTATTGAAACTCGCGAGTTGAGGAAAATAGCCCCTGTGATAAGGCATATTTCACTTGGCTGGAAGCGCTTTCACGAGCCTGCAACTGAGAGCCCAACAGATAATCGTCAAGGTGTGCTTTTGTTTGAGTTATGCTTAGTTTGGAAAAAAAAAGACCACAGCGTCAACGACGAAGTGCAGTTATTTGGTTCCACCAGATTTATACTCCTGTTGATAAAAGCATTGTCGGCAAAACGGCACGGTAGTACCACAAATAAGTGGGGGCAGAACATTCGAGCTAAACACGGAAGTATTTTTCAAATAACACAGGATTTCGAGAAAATTAAAATTCTACACTTTGCACATGCATTGCAGCTTTCCACGAAATCCCCGGGCCAACACGCTATACTTTTTCCACCTATTATAACACCAATTCCTTGCCATAAGAGGCTTTAGCAATTAGAACAGATCTACTGTTTTAATGTAGACATATTCCGAGAAGGTCGGTCATTAATCCAGTAGCACTATTAAACGAGAGTGTCAAACAATGAATGCTTTTGTATCAACGAGATATCGGACCTGTTAAATAAACGTTGCCTTTGAAGGACCTGAGGTGACCGCGGAAGAACGAGCCAATAAAAAATAGTATCTAGGTTAATGAATCGACTGGCCCGATGGGTTGTTTTTACTGGTGAAAATGGACAGAAATGATATCTGTTTGAAAATGGTACATTTTCACCATGCATGAGGTTCGGATCAGACCAATGTTATCTATCATAAAGGTGATTGGCCTGCATTGAATTTTATTTACATAATATTATCGTGATCGCAGGGTGGAGCAAACTTACAGAAAAGGGTGTGTTGAATTTGACGGATTTTTATTGCCGTCCTGTACGCAGGGAACCTTATGGCATTGCTTTCGTCCAGTCGCTGAAGTAAGTCAACCATAATAGGGTGGTCCCATTGAGTTTCTTGGGTTGCATGACTACAAAAACAATATTCAATTATCAATTCAGCGTAGGACATTTAACAATTAATTAATGAAGTTTTCATGGTACTGAAGCATTGGACTGGGTCCAGGGGCTAGTAGGAGCCTGCTAATTAGAACCAAAACAGTGATATTACTCGTTAGTAGTTAAGCAAATGCGTACAGACCGACGTGACGATTGTAATTGGTAACGCTGCGGTCAGGCCTTATACCAACTCTTGAATATATTCAAAAAGTGGCTCCATGAGTTTGGCTCACACGCGCACATGTGTGGACAATGAGATTGGAAATCGTGCTGTATTCGATAAATAGTAAACATTTGCTTGAACATTGCTGGAAATATTAGGACGTCTTCACACCGTGAACTGGTTTCTCGATTTCTACAATTGACTGGTAAGAGTGCAGGAAAATCCAACTCTGTCCTATAAAGTGCTAGTTTAGAGCCGGTAGGACCCAAACTATCTGATAAGAACGGCGAAAATTGTAGTCGAAGTCATAAAGTAACGAAAAATTTAAACACACTTTTTGTAGTAAGGTACTTGATTTCCAGATGGAAGAAGGCACCGTTCCCATGGATATGGAACTAAATATTAGAAGAAAACAAAATTTGGTTACAAACCGAAGCCCGAACAATAGTGCATTTGCCTATCGCCCTTTTACAAGTTGTTTTTCCGCGCTGTCTGGACACTGGGCAAATGCCAACTACGCTTCCACATTACATTCTAGCCAGTCTTTTCAGAAGGGTAGCATATTTTGGGGTTAAAATTAGTTTTGGACCCACTTGAAACAGCTGCCTAAGGTAACGGATTAACAGTAACAGTAACGGAACTTCCCATTACCCATTTACCTATTTGGAAAATGAAATCTACACACAATTTTAAATCTTCTGAAGCCTAACAGTGCAATGTTAAACAGAGATACATTTGAGTCAAAATACAGTAAAATCAATTCGATTAATAAATAGGTTCTCTAGTATTCCAAGTCTGTTTTGCTGCAGAATCAATAATCATTGTAAGAAGAAACTAACCTTATAGTGTTTAACGACAGTTCTTTCTGATTAAATTATCTGGTTACAATAAAGATCGGGTAGCAACTGAAGTAGCAGAAAATGACCATCGCACAACTTATTGAAAGATTTTACGACAAAGAAACGCTGCAAGGTTGCACACAACGTTCGTCGGTAACAGAAGAGGTGTTGGTTTACAAGCTCCCAGTCTTAAAAACGGCAGGGAGCCACCGATGACTCAATGAAAGTGTTGGCCACGTTTTCCGGAGGTCAGCATTAAGGATAAATTAAACGATTGCATGACGTGTACGAGCATGAGCTTAACAGCGGACTGGAGTGATATGATGGGCATGATTCTTTCCTAATCGCACTTTTGTGCAGAAATAATTACGTAATGGATTAGGTGGCACAGTTACATATTTAGGGCAAAACCAAAATATTTAAGAGGACAGGTTAGGTAAAAAGTCTTGTCATATTAGAGTACGCAGAGCTCCAGTATTAAGTTAGGGTTGCTAAGACTTCCTGTTCGTTTATACAGCTGCAGTATTCCGTGAAATTGATAAACAAAGGTTTTTGGGGATCATGTAAGTTGATTTGCATATCCGTTTGCGAAAAAGGAAAGCAGCAGCAGCAGCAGCTTAAATCCATTCAGAATTGGTTTATTACAAATTGCAAACTTTTCTACGTGAGTCGCAACCATGATGCGACTCTCATGGAATTATGGGGAAATAGCATTGGAGCATCGCCGAACGGTAATGCAAAAGTTTCAGTATTTCGTCTGAAAACCCATGTGCCTAACTATGAGGCGTGGAAAGCACAAAAAAACAATTTCGCTGTCAAGACTCCTTCAGATCTTATAATCGACTGGAATGATCTGCGAAACGAGTAGTCTGCTGTTTGAAAGGGAGAAAATTGAAAACTTTCCTATCTTCACATGGACTTTAAAATAAGAACAAAAGATTTGGTAAGTGTGCCCAAGTGTCTCCGAAAAATTCTCAATGGCGTGGATTTTACAGTGTGAAAATGAATAGCCCACCAGGGGTAGACTAGTTTACTTTACAAGGCACAGGCTACCTTTGGGTGGATTCACAAAGCGCGGTAAATTTTTGCACACCTGCTCTCTTCTACTTCCAGAGCGAGTTCGATTTGCAATAATTGCACGAGTGTGTTCAAACTTTCACCCGTAACCGTCAGAGGTAGTCAAAATTTTACATTATGCTTTTGGTACATCTCGCTTTAACAAAATATTAAAATGGGACGTCGCTAAAGTGAAATTTTCAAGCGTTTCACTATAGACCCAAGGTTTCAGAGAGGCCGATACAGATCAGTGCAATTATCGTTTCTGACTGGAAAAATAACCACAAATTATAACTTTACTCAACTTGTGCGTTAACATTTTTCGACCACTAATATAGTGATTTGTCAGTTGGTGAATTTACCAGTGCGTAATAAACACACCCTTCAGACACGTAAAATCATTCGAACTGCTAAACGCAGAAAAAGCTCACAAAATCACTCAATATTTTTGCTAATAGTAATCGCAGGCTTGTAAAAGCTCACTAGTTTTGAAGGCCTGCAACCAGCATTCAGAGGGACTCTTGGGCCTGGGGATTGGGGCGCCAGAACCGGCAGTTGAGGCGACAGAAGCCGGTCTGTCACCTTCCAGTAGATGTTGAGGTGGGGACCGCAGTGGACGCTGAGACACCGGAACAACACCCGCTTCACCGTTTCTCGTGGGGGAGCGATTCATCTCATCATTTGTTTCCGATCGCAAACGCTCCAGGCTAAGACCGATAAAAGATTCCAAAGTGAAAATGCACTTCAGACTTGATAGGACCAAAATATGTGATTCTTAAACAAATATTATAAGATTTTTTTTCGCAAAATGACCGTATGCTTTCAGCTTATGCCCTTAGACGTCACTCTTGTTATGACAATACAAAGTCCGCCTTTAAAGTTCCCAACGTACACAATTCTTGTACGAAAAAGACTGCAGAATTAGTTATTAACTCAGCGGTATCAGACGGCTAGGTAATTATTTTGTGTCATGGTTTAAATCAACTTTTGGTTGCCCAAGTGAATAATCAAGGACAACCTGGATTTGGCTGGATTAAAAGCCTGACACTTATTTGTAGATTGAGTGCACATTGAGCGAGGATAGCCTTATCCAACAGAAAGGTTGAACTTCAGTGAACATAATTAATGGCAAATAATTTTTGTTTACAAGTCACATGACCATGTCTCACGTGAGGACAACATTGGCGAACACATTAAGGTCACAGATTTGTCGTAGTATAACCCAATGCGCAGAACGCTCATAGAGAAGACTCGTCCATTCATTTAATGGTCATGTGGGGCTGTGATATTTTTCGATTGCATTCAGTGTTTAACTACGGTTAACTTTTAATCTAATTCATTCAGTGGCAATGAATGACGTTGCCGGACATTGTGAGTGCATCTTATTAGAGGACAGCTGCAGTCAACGATTTATAAGCACGATAACTTGGAAGAAGCACAACAACCAGGACATGCTGTCACATTTGGAACAGATCCAATGGCTACTTCAAACATCAGGGATAGCACTTGTTTTGTAAATGTTCCAGGGTAGGCAACATAACGGAAACCTTGATCTGCTAAAAGCACTATACTTATTCTAAACTGGTGGGCGACATTCGGAGGAAGACAGAGTTAAAGATGAACTAATGTTATTTCTTTTCATTACCCCTTCCGATAGCCTTTCCTTATGGACGTTGCAGCTTGGTTTTCAGCAGCATTTTACCATGGCTTACTTTCATAAGAATAAGGCCTACCATCCTTCTCACCTCTACGCATGAAATGTGCGTTTCCGGTTAGAATCTGTCTGGTAGCACGCAAAGTATTGCATAGAGCAGGCCTGTCATAGGGTACGAGGAATACCAAGGATACCAATCTGTGGATGCTTGGTCAAGTACTTATTTTACTGAAAATTTATAAGCACGACTGAAGGTTTTACTGACAGAAGTTAGGAAAGACTTGAACTGGGTGTGGTACATTATTATCTTATCGAACGTGACATTTCTAACAACTTACTCTGACGAACAGACCAAGTGGACAAAAGGAAGCAATAAGACGACTTACCCGATTTTTAATCCATCAAGACGCGAGATGAGAACGTGGGAGATGATAGTGCCGTCGTCACTTAATCGTAACGCCTGACCATCCAAACCAGCGATCGCATGGGTTACCGAAGCGCAGGTGTCCCATATGACCTTCGTTGTAGCAAGAAATGGATGATGGGGGTGGTTGGAAAACGGTGAAGTGTTGATTTTCGTGTCAAATTGCTACACTGCTTTTATATTCTTTAGTAAATATAAGATCTCTTTTACGGCTACATGTTTGAATCGCCCGTGTTTATCAATATCTTCAGCGGTTTGTATGGAAAAACCAAGTTCTTCTTTATTGCATGAACTTTTCTTAATGCTTCTGTGTCCTTAAGAGAGAACACTTTAAAAATCAATGACTGAAAATGGTAGACATTTCCGTTTGAAACCAACTATTGCAAGTTTTACCAGTTTATTCATATGAAAACCGTCGGCCGTAGTTAGAAAATATGTTTATGCTGAATTTTGTCGCTACGCAAACATTAATGATGATACTAATAATAAAACCGAACAAATTTTCCATAAACAACGGTTATTTTAATAAACTTTACATCTTTCGACTTGCTATGTTTATTATGTGCTCAACAGGAACGATGGCCCTCAGTACTCCCATATTTAACAGATAAATGAGCGTAACCCAGTAGCCATGTCGGGCCACTAAAGATCATCTTCAGTTTAGATAATTTAGCATAATATAACTTAAGAAATGTATGGATAAATCAGTCATCATTTTGAAAACGTATTTTCAAGCCCGAGCAGGATATCAAAATGATAGGCTCTGTCATCGGTATTTAAAATCGTAAATTAGAGGACTTGATGTAGCCATGAAGCAGGAGGTCAAGGGCACCCAGGAATTGGCATACACTACAATGGTCTACAAAACGGCTTCCTTCCTTCAAAATACAAAACCGCATTTAAATGGCTGACGCATTAATTTTTTTGCCTTTTTTGTCAGCAACTATGTCTGGTTAAAAAACCACTGGAGGTCGCTTGAACCTCCATTGTGTTCATTTGCAAATTATTAAAACCAAGTATTTATTTCAATGTGAATTCTGAGGAACCTATCAAGCCGGAAATACTTTAAAATCGAAGTGAGTTGGATTTCTGGAAAGAAGCACTCGGAAGTAACTGCGGTAAACAGCCTTACGAAAGTTCAGGTATTTTTTGACGACGTAATGCTCGCAAAATGTCGACAAATAACTGTGGCTTAGATTGTGCGGCTGATAATGCAACTTCTTAATACCACGACACTGAGTGTCACAGTCTGCCAGGACAGCAAAATGTTTTGTCAACTTGGATGGTGTCAAACGGAAGAAGACTTTGACTCGATGAAAAGGGCGACCGTGTTGGCACCGCGGCCCTCTGAGGAGTAGCAAGAAATGTTAACTACTGCATAGGAACGCAAAATGCCTGTCAACGCTTTCGCACACATCGACGAGTGCCTTATGCCCACAGCTGGCAGGACTACATCAAATAATCTAACATTAAGGACGCTGATGTTTGAAATCGAGTTATTTACTGAGGATTAGAGTGGTCAACTACTATTTCATAAGATTGTAGGATTCTGCTCCGGGTAAGCCAGACCTCTTATGTGCAATTTTGTAATCTCGGGTGAATCCCGATCTTGCAGGGGAAGAAGCATGAAATCTGTGAACGTAAAGCTCACCTGAACCACATCTTGCCTCCTCAAGTCAAAAGCGATTCCTTTTACGTCAAATCAGTTTCTTATTTGGGGTTGGCTTGAAACATATAATATTATTTTCGGTTGATAGCAAGCCAAAAACAAAACAGGTTTATTAGTTGAACTTAGAGGTGTTTAACATGAGCCTTTATGCATTAGCATACGGAATTTGACGCTGATGTCCATGAGTACTACTTGTACCGTGGCGGGTTAGTCTGATCAATTTTTTCTTTGTGTCGAATTAGCGGTGGGCGTGGAAGGGACATCTCACATTACAACGAGCAGTCGACTGATGAAATTACATATCCGCAGTACAGAAGACCACAGCCTTTTGTCTCGGCTTCGACGTGTTTAAAAAAGTCTTTAATGTCACGTTAATTGAAGGCTGGATTTAATTTACCGCTTGTCAAATACACTTTAACTCAAATGTGGCTGCTTGGAACAACCGTCTGAAAGCCCTAGAAAAAAGTGAAATTTACAGCAAAACCTCTACCTAATGTGTTGAGGGAAATTGTATATCATTACTTCAAATCAGTGTAATCAAACTCCAGAAAACCAATATTTACTAGTACATGTTGATAGCTCGAAAATTATGTTCTTGGGGTAATTCTGTCACACGAAATAAGAATCATGTCAAATTCCTATTCGGGACTATTATGCATGACCAATTATTTCTTTTATGGGAGAGGATGAAATGGTGTGTACAAATAATCAATATCGCACAAAACCAAACTGCAGCCACGTTCTCAGCGAGACATTTAAACAAGCACAGCACTTATTTTCCGGAGTTAGTCTAGGTATGCCCGTGGAAGACAAGACACACTAAAGCAAACATTCTACGGAGAACCAAAAGTTAGCAAATAGTGCATGCGAAATTAGCTTGATGGCAGGGTGGTACAAGTCTGGACAGTCAAAACTGACTTTTGATTTTTTTAAAAACACTGGCATGGTTATTTGCTGGGGGGATGTTGCCGGCAGGCGCTCACCTGCAGAGCCTGGTCATCTGTAGAACCGGAGAGGTCACGTGACATCAGAAGTTTTTGAGTTGACGCCAGTTCCCGCTCGGCATCGTCCAGTACCCTTTCAAACACCGTGAGTTTCTGCATGGTGTAGAAATATTTTTTTCAGTCCAAGGCACCGAGTAAAAATACACTGTAGTGCAGATAGTAGTTACCTGGAAGGCCCTGTCAAGTTGCTGTCGGTAAGTTAACATGGAACCATTCAGTTCAGCCCAGTGTTTGTCTAGGTAATTCAAGTGACGTTTGATGCGTCGAATGATTCGTTTAGTGCTCATGCTAGACTCGTCAAAGTCAACATTGACGAGGTCAAGTTCAGAGCCATCGGAGTCTCCTGAAGCCAAGAAAAGCCTGACACTTTATACCATCTCTGGGAAACCTCTTTTAGAAAGATTTTGGGGGGCCTGCAGGCTTTAAGAACTTCGACTACCACTGGATCGAACCTGATTAATGTGAACCCACGGTCGGACACAAACAAATCCTGAAGTTGTGAGAGAGTGTAGCATGCATGTTGATTTTGAAACTGATTGATTAGTGTTTAAATAAGTGAAGGGCTAAACTTCAAAAGTTTTAGAGACTATTGCAAAAAAATAATACAGGGCTATGCGAAGGCCAGAAACCTTTATGTCGTAAATACTAGCATATGGCTGAAAACCTATTTTAATGGCATTCGGAGACAGAGATGAAATTCCAAGATCGTGCTGCAATTCCGTCAGTTGAGAGATAAAACTAAGTTAAACACTAGCTGTCTGTGTCTAACTTGCTCAGTCTTGTTAGTTGAAAACGACTAAATGTATGCATAAAAATTAGTTAACATTTCAAAGCAATATATTTCCTTATTGTACCTTCAGATTCCACAAAAGATCCTAATCGAGCATCGACAAATTGATCCTTCAAGAAAACATGCCCACGGTCAAGAAGTTCCTCAACTTGGAATCTCTGCTGCTGTAGTTCCTCTTCCAAAACCTATAAAGATAGTACTTATTGAACTTTCAGCAACTTATATCATCGATCTTGAATAGGATCTTCCACTTAATATCCCAATAATGCCACTTCCATTGCAAAAACTTTAAAAATCACACATGAACCTCGAATTTTATTGAACTGAAAGCATCATATTATAACAAAGTTGGAAAGAGCAATTAAATGTCACATCATGGCAAAAAGGGTCAACTAAACGTTTCAGACGATGTAAAATTTCTATCGCTATGTTGTTGCAACGAGCAGAAACGCAATATTTCACCAAAGATAAACACAAAATAAGATAGCTGAGATACACGTTACCAAAGAAATCACTCTGAGATCACTGATAATACTTCGAATTAATAGTTAAATGACAAAATATGGCATATAACAGCTATATCCGGACGCAAAGGTGGGAACCAGTTTCATCGTTGAGTACCATAACAATCCAATTCCGATAGTGATCAGAAACAAAGCAGCAAGCTTCATACCGAAAAAGAATTGATGAGCTGGCTGACAGTTTCGCTGTCACCACCAACAGTTCCCCTGAGTTGATGAAAGGCTGCGTCCTGGTGAGCCAGCCAGTCGTTCATCTGGCGTAGCTGAGCCAAAAACAGAGGCCAATTCTCTAGAGGCATTCGCATTACTGGCCTAAGATAAAAAAGACCGTTAGTTATGACTTCTAATTTATTTAGGACGTGTCTTTTTACGCATCGGAAGGCAGTGCCAACTTGTGCTTTTTAAGGCGAATATTAATGCGTCCAAAATGAACTTGCCGCTACACAGGCAAAAGGAAGTGCCCAATTAGTGCTGCTGCTTAATGCTTCGACAATAATGGACACCAACTATAGCATGATAACACTTGGCTGCACTTCACGACAGTCATCCAAGAAAGAATTTGTTAATTTGGCCCAGACGCTCCACGGCATTTGCTTGTCATTCGAAACTTGATATTACTCAACTGCTTACATTTGGTAATGCCTGTGGAGCACAATTTGTGCATCCAAATAGTAGGAGTTCATCACCACAAAAACATTGCTGAAGGTTTTAGTCAAGAGTTTAAATGACTTGAAGATGTTATCTTGAATCTCGTAAGTAATACCTGGTAAAATTATGTTCACAAGATTATCGAAAGTTTGTTTAAATTAACATTAAGTAAATTGGGCACGACCGCAAGCAGATATCTCATGGTTAAAACAAACATAGACAAAACAATCGATTGATAAAATGTCAGGTCATGAGTGAGGTTGACCCTACACGAAAAGGTGAGGCCAGGATTTAAACTACTGGACGCAAACATGAATGCATGAGATTGTGGTTTGAAAGTTGAGTACGCCGGTGACATCACGACGACAACCTGAGCATTAGAAGGCAATTTGCGAGTTTTCAATTGGGGTGGTAAATCATTGACTTCTGATATTATGGTTACAACATACTAAATTACCCCAGCAATTAAAAGGTGGATAAATAAAGCAAATGCCAGTTTCGCTTTAAATCATACATCTTGTCGAACAAAATGTACCTTGAATCACAAGGTCGGACGCGGATATCAACACTTCTTGACAACTGGTTTCCACGATAGGCTTCGTTTAAAAACGGGGGCTAAAATATGAAGAGAACATTCGAGAAAGCAGAAATTGCTTCAATCAGTGAAGCTAGTAGAGTCCATACCTTCTGGTCTAAATGATGCCGTCCCAGAGTACTTGAGCTGTAACCTTGGCCAGGCGAACCCACGTTGTAGGATGTCTCGATCATTGAGGCTTCCATGCTTCTGGGTTCAGGTGGGAGGAAATGCTCAGTGGACCTGTAGGAACCAGCCTGCTGTGTTGAGACACTCCGTAATCTGGTAATCCTCTGAAGGTCCGTCTCTGGTGATCTCGGATGGGTGCTGATGGGGATTTCAATGAAGTCTGAATCGGGTTGTGACGTGCATTCCAAGGATTCACGAAGTCTAAGACAGGGGAAAAATCGCTGATCATAAAACATAGCCGAGATTCAACGGAATCAAAGGATTAGGGTTTTTGCTGAGGGCCTAATATGAGTACATACAGTTTCATATGTTCGCCTCAAGTTGTGTGCTGTTAGAATCCGTCTGTGGCAGATTTCCATTGTGCTGATGACAACGTGATAGTTTTTCAAACTGGATTAGAATGCACGTACACTCGAGCTTCAATGCCCAGAGAGCTCAGGGTAAATTACAAATGCGATCAAAATAATTTGAAGTGACTTGTGGTTCCAGTTATGGTTAGATCGGTAATAGGTGGCTGATTATCTGCGCATCTAAATTTGCTAGGAACAGATCACTTGAAAACCAAATATTCTACCCCAGTTTTCATGATTAAATCACATAGCAGAAGAAGGAATTACCACAACGCAAATCAGATTTTGATCTGGTTAAAGGGTCACAAGCAGACAGCATCACACGAGTGAAAGCTAGGCCGGGTTTTAAGAATGTGTTACAGTAGGATGCTGGAAATGTGAAGCAGAAAGCATTCCAAATTAAGTGACGATTTAAGAGAAAAACAACTCATAAGTTGTTATCAAAAAAGGAGATATCAACCCGATTATAATCCAACATCCGCCACTAGCTGACGCATTTCAATTCAAGAAGCAGATTTTATTCTGCTCTAACCAACACGGCAAGTACGAAAATTACACTACCAAGTTGGCCAATAATTTTTCTCTGTCCACCAGTCACCGCGCATTTGCACTCGTCGTTTGCGAGTGTAACTTTACTATCCAATTAAACGCTCGGCGCTGATGCTTCACTTTTCATTACATTTTCTTGTATAGACAAGCGGATGTAGGCGTGCGCATGTGAACTGCCCATTTCCGGGGCTGCAGCGTGTGCTTGTTTACGTCAAGGGGCTTGCGAGATGGTAACTTAAATGTGATTTAATGCATTAAAGGGTAGCAAACACGCTTCTCAGCTTATTCTCTGTGGACACTAATGTGCACTTGCTGCTGATACGACATAGTTACTCATACTACTGACAAGAAATAAAGCAAATTCCAACGCTATTAAAGTAACGTTAAATTTAAGATGATTATTATTTGTTTAGCTGTTACTTCCTGTGGTCACGCCACTTAGATCTCTGTAAAACCTAGTTGAATACAAAGCATTAAAAGGTTCACAATACACACACCTGGACACAAGCTGAGACCAACGGCTTCTGATAGCCTCCTGATCCGAGCGAAATTTCTGCGTATCCTCCTTGGAGTACTTGGATAAAATAGCCTCGCATTTATTTTGATGCGTCATAAATTTCGTTTCACCAGCTGGTAAGCGATCGATTATTTCCTGAAATATAAGACGAGTAATAGCGCGTAACTGCAAACCAGTGGCTATTTTAGGTCATGAATTCCTCTTCATAATAACTAGTGTTGTAGTGAAATTAGTTAATCATGTTACCCTCTAACCCCTAACAGACAAAATATACGGTAGCCATTCAAATTCAACTGCTGAAAGCAAACTTGGGACTAAGGCTCTTCGCAAACATTCAAGACAAGTGAGCGACAGATGAACATGAGTGATTTCAAAACAAAAGATAATCATTTGCACTTTTGTAACATTATTTTGGGTAGTTACTTATGGGTATATTCCTCGTTGAAAATTACAAATTCAATTTCAAATGTTGTAGCTGATTTACAAACCTGAATTAGGCGTTTCCTCTCCGCTGCTTCCTGAGTGTTTGAAAGGGCATTTGCCAGGTCTGCTTCCGCGCGTGATAACCACCGATCAAGGTCCTTTTCCGCGCTCTTCAACTCGTCTGTCGCTATTAACATCTTTTCTAGTTCATCCAAACGAGCTTTCACTTGGGCACTAGTTGAGTTCCAACTTTGTCGAACTTCCTCGACTTAAAAAAAGTCAATGGATTTAATTTCACTATTATGGATATAGGCAACGAGGCTCACGAAAATAGCTAGCCCCTTACCCCAATGGCACAATCTGGGTGCTTATTTTAAACTCATGATAAACAAAAATGACAGCTTGCCGATCAAGGGCTCTGACAAGAAAGATATTTCGAGTCCAGCGCTTACAAATCAGATAACGTTGGATAGCGAATTCACATAGTGCATTTTAATGAGCCAGAAGAAAACAACCTTCGAGTGTTAAAAGGGTTGTTTCTTGAAACACGATAAAGCACATTAATAAACGATGTTATTTTTTGTCAAAAATCAAGGGCTCATGTGAGAAATTTAATTCCTGAATTAAAAGGGGCCTAAAATTATGAACCACACTTTTTTATTCAAATATTTTCAGGCACTAAAGTCAGTTGTTTATTGGAACCGGCGACGAATTCGAATTATTGGTAAATGAAGGATCCCCTAATAGCAATCATAAACCATCATATTAATGATTGGACGCGTGTAGCAGGTAAAATGTACTAGCAGACAGGAAGAAGAATACTTGTCCGTGAGCTACGCTTTAATAACTGCAGACTTTCAATAAAGAAGTTGCTTAGCTTGATGCATGAAAGTGCATTTTACTACTACAGTGTGGAAATCTTGACCTTTCCTGAGAAAATGTTTTTTTTGTTCTTTTCCTTAACAAATAGTACAATTAAAGTTCATAAAAGGTTGAACTTTGTTCAAGCAGAAGTGAACGTTATTTCGTGAGAAACTAACGTGTTGCTTGCATAAAACGTGGAGCTCAAGGTGAATAGTGTGATACAACGAGCAAAAATACAGGTATTTCCGAAAGTGCGACTCATTAGTTAACCTAGAAGGCATCGCAAGTACGTGAGATTTAGTAGTTATTGCCTACTTTTTTCAAAAGCAGGCTTCCTTGAAAGACCAATGGCCTAAATGACCGGCTGAGAGATTAGTGGAAATAAAATCCACTGGGTGTTAATAAAATATTTTGTTCTACCTTGATCTTCCCCCACCAAAAAAGGAATTCTGATTTGTCGGATTTGGGAAATCTCACGGCTAAATACACTATGAACCATGATCTCTAACATCGAAACTATACATCTTTCTAAAACAAAGAAGTACAAATGAAGAGTATTTCAATCAATTCAAAGACCTGAAGTTCAGTAAGTCATGGCTTTAACCTTGTCTTGATGTTGGAAAATAATGCAAACAATTGAATTTCTACAAATTGCAACTTTTTACTCCAACACGCAAGATCTTTAGTTGGATACAGTCAGCCGAATCAAAACAATTTGAATTAACCTAGTACGATAAAAAAAGTGCATAAAAGCAAACACTGACAACCACACTGTCTTGACATCAGGAAATCAGATGCGGAATCCAGTCTGTAACTCACTGCAGTAAAGACAAGCTGAACATTTAGGAATAGTTTATGAACCAAACTTCATCCAACAATACTCAATTGGTGTTCTAGGATGTAATTTTTCCCAGAATCACCTGTGGTATTAATTGAACTCTCGTGAGTTAAATCACGACATCGAATGAAGCACACTCCATTGGTCTTGTGATAGATTCACTAGATGGGTTACTGGCGTTTTGAGTGATGAGTCTCGAAGTCAGCGGCATGTGCTGATGATGCAATCTTGGGTGCAAAGACAAACATTTAGCCCAGTGTCAATTTGGCATCCATTTAGTTTGGGTGACTACCTACCTTGATTTAACTTTTATTGAAAGGATTGCAGAGCTAAAATCCTTCTTAATTTTTTTCATTGTGGTAACAAGGAAACCGTGGCAATTTACATTCATTCCCATTTTCTGCGCAACTTCGCTGCATGAAACTGCGAACCGCCCCTCATCTATGGTCTGATTTTGAGGGTTTCTAAATACCATCGATTCCCACACTTATTATTACAATTAATTCCGATGAACCTCTGTCATCTCCTTGACGAAATGTGACCGTTAGGCAACGCACAAACTACAGGGTAATACTTTTACTATGACGCGTTTCTCTAAAGAAAGAGACCGCGGTATCAGAAAAGCAAATAGTTCAAACACCTAACACAAAATGGAAACAAGGCTTGAAATTGCTGTAAATTACTTCTCCCTTCTGTGCAGTCTTATTACGACTATTTTACTGCAACTGGGTGATTTCAGAGTGTGAAATCTGCAATCGACCAGAAAACGTGCATGCACAACACTGTCAAAAAAGTAGTTGCGTATAGCTGGATTGCGAAAAAAGACATTTGGGTTAAAATAAAGTGATGAGGAGCAGAAGGCATAACCCTGGAGCATCTTTGTGGATTATTATGTAACCATTTCTGGGAAGGTCGTTGCCAAATTTTTTAACGCTACCAGAGTATTCTTCTGAAATTTGTCATAACATTAACGAATTGCCTTCGACAGTTCCTGACCACTAACTTCAAATATTTGTAATTTAGCTTATAAGCAACTGTTTAAATTTTGTATTTAATATTAAGCTGTCAACAAAGCAACATTTGCGGTTGCAATTGTGAAATATTACCGCTGCTCAAACTGACCGCATGAAAAAAATTGGAAGTGTGTAATTGGCTTTGCGTGAAGCATTCGGAACCAACTCGCCTAGCGTCTTCGGTTGCCTTATTTACTCTACGTGGTTAACAAATAAAAAACCTTTGAATTGTTCTAGGGGGATCTGATCCGACCACCACACTCAGTTTTTATCAAATCTCTGATATTGGCAAAGTCGTCAACGGACAGAACGCAGGAAACCTAGTTGATGTGTAAAACGTTGTCTTTATGTGGCGATTTCTCAAAAATGCAAGATGCTAAACGCTCGTTAGTTTGACCGCGTTGCTGTGCGACCAAATGTGATTTCATAAGTAAGATTGCTCATTGGTTCCACCTTCCTGTAATCTTTGAACAACAAGACTAACAAATCCAATAACTAAAAGATTTACCTGGTAAAATAGTATAAAAATTGAAAATTCCGAATACAACCTGACAGTGACGCGCTTAACGAAGGGCTAATGAGACAAACCTGCAAAGTCATGTCCAGAAGTAGTACAATACCTTATACACATGCTTGGCTCAAATCTGCACAAAAAGACAGATTGGAAGACTAACCAGCAGCCTCAGCAGGGTCTAAGACTCCAACACTAGCAGTTTTTTTAGTTTTCAACTGTTTTTCTTTAAGTTGAGCAACTACCTCGGACTGGGTGTTCGGGCTTGAGATGGTATCGTGTGAATGTAGAGAGTTAATTCGTTGGGGAGAGGGTTCAAGTGATTTTTCGCCATCGTCCTCCTCATGAAGAGTGCTCAAGTGAGAGTTCGGAATTTTTCTTCTTTGCTGAAAATCAACTAGCTTAACAGGCTCCGAAATCTGTGCTTTCTTTGTTACATTTACAACTGAATTGTCTGGAAGTCCGGGTTTTGGCAGCGGCTCTACACGTCCGGGTGAACTTTGCTGGTCCTCTATGGGGCCAGCATTGGCGTCTGCCAGTTCAGAATCTGATTCAGTTTTTTCCTCAGCTGTGGAATTGTTCTGATTCTCCCCAAAAATCTCGGCCATAGACAATTTTCTCGGGGAGGAATTTGAAACCATAACCTCCAGAGGTGATGAAGAACTGCTATAAACATCACTCTTGGATATACGCCGGGAACGCGTGGGAATAATATCAACAATTGCAGAGCTATTTGCAGGGAGCGAAGTGGAAACTGGCTTCTGTCCTGTTGCAGTCTCATCAACCAGCTCATTCACAGCTTGTTTTATGGTAGTAAATACCCGATTTATTGACGAGGTGAAATATGAAGTCATTTGGGAGGAGGAGACCGCAACTGGCTGGTACTGAGGCTGCTCATTTGCAAATTTTTTACTTTCTACATACGAAGGCTGGAAACAACTGTCCTCGAAACAGCCAATGAACGTTCGCAATTGCGCCGGCCAATGGGCAAACAAAGGCCAATATGCGATGGGCGACAGTGTAATGACTTGAGCTCATGGCGGCTTTCGTGTGATTTTCTTGGGTATGCATGCGCATTGATTCTTGAATCTGACGGGAATTTGTTATCACCATAAAACAGCTTACAGTGGAGGGTTACACTTTTTTAAAGCAGAAGACTGTCAAAATTGGTCAAATAAAGACCTGGATATTCGCCATACATCATCGTCGCATTGGTAATCTCCGCTCAGTAATTTCCTTGAAAAAAATGGCTAAATCTGTAGAGAATTGAAAAGGACTGATTCTCTTTCAAGGTAAGATAATTTAGTAATTGGCGAAATGATGCAATTTGTTATTGTTTAAGTCGAAGGTCATTAAAATGCCTCGAAAAGGCATTATGTAAACGAAGTGCCTGATGTTGGGTCAGGCGTTGACGCCTACTCCTGGAAGATGGCCGAGCCAAAATATGCAACGCTACGGCCAACAGCACCTGTGTCAGTTGGTTACTAAAATTATACTTGTGTTAAGCGTATACAGACTACGCCACTTGATATCTGTTACGCAGCATTGGGAAAATTCTGACATCCTAGCCCTCTCCATTGGCCCATTCATCTTTGAGTGAACAGTTCCCCCTGTAATTGCACCCAAGACCACCCAAGACCACCCACGCCATTTACAAGTGGGGCCACTGAGCGCGCACTTGGCCTTTGGCTGAGGCGTCAAAAAAATCTATCTAATCTAGGTTATGGTTAGGGGAGGCGGTGACTCATTCGTGTTGTCCACGTACCGGTGCGAAGGGGGTAATTGAAGTGCCAGACAAAGGGTTCAATTATTTACGCTTGGGCTTTCCAGCTGTGTACAGGTATACCGGATCATTAGTCCGTCCAATAATTGCCCTGGGTTAGAAGAAATTGCAGTAGAGGCCCTCTAAGCCACTTCTATCGGGAGACCTTTGAAGGGGTGGTTGTACACATACGTCAGTTTTAGTTATGACTTCTACCGGGGGCAATATAAATAAAGCTCTTGTTTACCAAAAGAATAAATTGCATCAAAATTTATTAATCATAGTAATAAGATTTGGAAGTCACACAAGACTTCGGAATAAAGACACCTCATGTAGTCTACTCCGCTTCCATGAGTTTTATTTAAAGGATGGCTTCACAAATTTTGGTAGTGACGATGGTCTAATTTTCCTCGTAATATGTCAGTTTGAGTGTGTCCTTACTAGTGCTCAATACAATGGACACAAAGAATCTTGGCGAGTTTCCCAAAACGTATGTGATCCAGCGGCGTTGTCACTTGTACAAAAAGTTGTTCTGTTAAATTTACTTTTCAGAAGTAGTCACGAGCTTTCGCTCGTTCTCTTGAAGATGGCCTCAAAAGTACTCAGTTAATATCTCTGGACTGCTTACTGCAACCAGAACAGTAGGATGAATCAGGTCGATATGAGGACACCTCAAAAGCTGACTAGGGCGGTTGTTTTCCTTACTCGAAAGCATAAAATTCAGTAAAATAGACCACTAACATGTTTGAGATTCCAGATATGATCAATGGATACAATGAACGTCGTGGCAATTTACTCAAACAAAATCTAAAATAAACAAGTCTATCTGCCAGAGAAATTAGGGGGCGGTTAGGAAAACACTAGTCCATCGCCTCAAAAACAGCGCAGACGTAAAATAGTCTGCCTATTTCAATGAATCCATAAACGCATTTTATTATTGTGAGAAAATCCCATTAATAAATAACATTATTGGTACAAGTTTTAACTGTGCAGTTTTGGCAAGTTAATCGTATAAAAGAATGAAACAAAGCAGATGTGGTGTTCTACCTTACATCCAATTGCTTCCTCCTCTGAGGCCAGAGAAATTTACTTTTGCTGAAAATCGAATTTCTAATGTTAAATAGGGATAACGATCACAAAACGGTCATTCTATGCCCTTACCCTCAGCTTTGCGTCCGAATTTCACAAAGTTATAAAGTATCGAGTGCTCTAAAATCTTTTGCATTCCTTCGTTTCCCAGTAATGAGCCACTCAAATGAACTATGGATCAATTTTTACAAATACAGAAAGAATAGTAAGAGGGCTAAAAATTATGAACGAATGCCAAAGGTGTCTTCTTTGTCCGCACGCATGAAATGTTACACTTTTAACGTACTGCATCTTCCAAAGACCAGCGTAAAACAAAATTAGGAAATTCACAGAAAACTTTTGGTTTGATCGAAAACTTATGGAAGGAGAGACAGGCCACAAATAAAGTTAAGAAACCATTTACCGGAAAAAAATTAAGAATGCATTGTTCCACAGGAAATTTTGTAACGAATAAAATTCCAATAAAAATGCGCACTCTTATAAATCGGCTTAAAAAATCGGTCACTTGTTTAGGAAATAGAATTACGGTTTTCAGTCAGACGCCCTTAAAATGCTGGAAGGTTTATTCTAATCCACCTTGGATTTGTAAATTCAAGCGAAATTATATTTGTCACTACATTACAGCACTCACCGGTTTTCGATGGACTTTCAGCAACTGTCGAAGAGTATTTCTATTTTACAATGCTTTACTTTTCATTTACTAAGACCTCCTACATAAATAATATGAGTCCTGGGAATGCTAAGGCTCTTAAAACACTGAACTAAATTGGTATGAATCATGACTTAGTAACACGGCTAGTTAAAATGGTAACAGCCCACTCGTCATTCTCTTTTGCATGAACAAAGCAAATGTATAGCAAAGCGAAGACCTCTTACTCGAATGAAGCATTCAAGTGTTTTTTGATTTCTCCGGAACCTGCCTGAATAAATGTCAAAGAAATCACATGCATTTTTAGACACATCTGTAAACTTACCCATTGAGACTAGTTGACTTGGTGATACGTCTCTGTTTCTGGAACCTTCAGTCAACCGTCCCGCCTCAATTTGTAGCTTGTCAAGCTGTGGTTTCCGGGCGTCCAACTCGATGGCATATTGCTGAAAAGGACGCAAACTGGTGAATTGGGGGAGAGTGAAGGCGGAGCAGAATGCAGGCACACACGCACACACAACGCCGGTTTGTGTTCATTCGCAGACGAACGCACCGCCAATAGTCAACGATGGTGTGAATACCGATACAGCCATCTTGCCCTCATGTGCGCATGTATGTGTGGCTGTGTGTGTGTGTGTGCATACGTGGAGAATCCTACTGTCTGATTGTGCTGTAGCTGGGATTTAACCTGGTACAAACTGACGTTTAGAGTGCATTTACTTACTTGACGTTGATTAAGTGTATTTACTTTTCCCCTCAGAGTTCAGAACACAAGTATGCAAGCCTTAAATTAATGCTACATAAGGCAGCTGAGATTCGAAATCAGTTGGTTGTTGAGTGAATGAGCGGGAATTTAGTAAATATTGACAATTTCACTAGTTAATTTTGGCGTTTTTCGCAGGGTCTATAGAACCATTTGGGAACAAGGAGATCCGTACGGTTAAGTAAAGGACATTCTCTTTACTCAATTTTTGGCCTCTTATTCAGCAGCTGAAATATACCCAAATGAGTTCCCTTTTGCATCTGTAGCATATGGAAATTATGGCAACTGATCTCAAGTCGTCGGCATTTGCTGTAACCAGCCATCATATGTGAAACAAATTATGAATATTGAGAAGATTCTGAGGAAATTCCTTAAATTCATGGTACAGAATAAGCATTTTTTCATTTTGCACATTATTTCGAGTCAGACAATGCAACAAGGCAGAGACATGTTACATGTGTTATTTATTTGATATGACCGGCCAGTAGTCTGGTGAAACAAACGCCCCGCGGCCCAATAAGGACGACGCAAGAATAGAGGACCTAGAGGTCAACAAAGCAGGAAAATACACAGGAAACAGTTCAAACTTGACGTCTAGTTGCTACGAAACAGCTGGTTGAATAGTTCAAAACACTGACTAGATAGGCTCAAGGTTAGGTATTACTGATGATTTAGCAAAGATGGCTAATTTTTCTAGGTCCTTTCAATGTGGAACTTGCATATGAAATTATGAAATAGCCTAGCAGGCGTTTATTTCACATTTAGCATTCATTTTACTAATCTATTTAAGGTTCCACTACTACCAAAGCAGATCATAAAACGCAAATGCTCGGTTAACGGACGACAGCCATTTGATAACGTATCACATCTAAACTATAACGATGATATCAAGATCGACCAAACGTCAGTTTGGCCATGTGTTCGTTTTTACATGTACGTATTTAATCTTTCAACTATCTGGTGTTTAAAGCATTTCAAAACAAATGGTATACTAGATACCCTGCTTGATTGGAAAGATAATCATCCACAGGAATAAATGCTTGAAAAGTTTAGAAAGTTTAACCACTCTTTCGTGACGGATAGTGTAATTTCAAAGTAAAAAACACAACAACTATGAAACAGCCTAAAGTCTAAAATTGGTTTTTGCAGTGAACCAGAGTGGCTTAAAGTGGTTTCGTGGTCTTACTACTCCTGTTACTGAAATGTCAGACCTAGACACTGGTTCCCCAGAACACATATTATGTGGGTAAAGCGATTCTACGAAGCTTCAAGACTATCTACTTCATCATCCATGGCCATAAAATAAATTGCGATGGTTCACGACCATCGCTTCCACCTACACAAGTCCTGATTAATCCATCATTCAGCAAACTCCGCCTTCCTACCCGTTTCTATGCAATTATTTGATAATATCTTATCTGCTAACTGACTCCTATTGATTAAGACTACCCACATATCTACAATTTATAAGCAGTCACGTTATTTTACTAAAGGGTCAAGATAACTTATTGTCTGGTCTTCGCATTCTCCTCTGAATATCAGCTTGTCATACGAGAGTCTCAATCGATCAGTCGCCCCAATGAGGGATTGTGTTCCACACAAAAATCTCAAAACTAGACTGTATCACCGCAATTAATTTCGTCGAGTAGCAGTTTGCGACCTAGTACCGTGGAGGAAGGCCTTAGTTCGGAGTGTACGTCATCTGCTACGAACGTGCACGAAGCAGAGACCACTTCAAAGCATTCTTGTCATCATTAATAAGGTGACAAATCATGTTTACATGCATTCGTTCCCAATTGTAGTCACAATGGAACGACCTATCATACCGAACACCGAACATTTGTACACATATCTCACAGAAACGTGATCACACAAAATAAATTTGAACCCGGAGAAATTTCGTTTGAAGTAACTTAATTCTGATGCTCATTCCGTAGTAAACAAGGAGTTAGTGCAAAAAAAGACCGTAAAAATTCGGAAATATGAATGTTTGTTTACCCATGGTTTTGAGAATCTTTCACAAATTAAATCAAACTCACATATTTTTTGCATTTAAAAAATGACTGCTAATGAAACAGCTTTTATCTTGAATTTACATTGAACTCTAGAAAGGAATCAGGGAGCACCTGTGGGCCTGCAATACTTTCATACATTCAAATAGCGTGGCCGAAAAGTCAGACTCCAAAATTGTTCGAATACACGCTAGGCTATAAGAATACCCATATCAAAACCTATGGCTTTATCTGGAAGTATGCATAAAAAACACCGGGCCCTTACCTGGAGCTGAATTTGGATGACCTCAGGGTAGAGGGAACGGACTGTGTAGGACTTCTGGTCACCTGATCGATTCTACGCAAAAGAATTAACAGGCATTTATAACCCTGCCAAAAGCTAATGAAGCGTTTATTATCTTCATAGTTAAAAGTTTTCAATTTTTCATGTGATAAAGGATTACTTTTAATGGCGAAGCCCCACTTCTCGTCAGTTCGCTTTCAAATATTTGTGGGAGCAAAAATTTGAAAACCAAAACTACTTGAAAAATCTATCAGAGCTTAAAATTAGGGTGCTGCAAATGAGGCTTCTGAATGGACGGATGATGAAGGAAAACACAGAAATTTTTAGTTGTATTCGTTTATGCAAGAAAATCGCGTTTAGGTGAGAGGATATTTTATTTGACTACTATTCAAAATTTTATTGAAAAAAGTGGGCAAACTATTTTTTCGACTGTAAGTCAAGATTCCCATAAAGTAAAGAAGAATCCATGAAATCAATGACGATTAATGGGGCTTGGACACTACCAATGGCATCGGATTGTTAAAATGATAATGGAACAGGGCGCATTACAAGGTATTTCATCAGAACTTAACGCTGAAGCTTTCCTCGGCTAGATTCCTATTTGATAGAATCAATTCCTCAAGGTTACGATATACGATTATGCTGCAAGGCTACCAACCACACAAAAACTTAAAAAAATTGAATTGTTCTACATGTTGACTGAAGGGAGATCACATTGCTTTCGGTGTACAAATCTTTCCTGTACCCCAAATTTTGGACGCTTCTGCGATAGAGAGACCGTGATTCCGATGCGTTGTGGTGGGTGAATTTAGTGATTCTGGTAACTCTTAGATGTGCGTGCTTTTCCTTTCCTCACTGCGGCAATCAACGCATCTCAAACATTACTATAATGACCTTATATGCCCTGGAGACCATTCACTTCCGTGGGTGCCTCACGCAGAAACGATGGCCCTGTCGCTCGAAAATAAACAACATGCCTTCAATCACCTGACGTGGTGGTGCGCACAATATTTCGTACCTTATGAAAGCCTCGTTAAAGCATACTTTCAATCCGGTTTCGCTGTTATAAGATCGCAGAGTACAAACAGCGAGGCATTATAATGTCGCTAATTTTTTATCATAATTATGAGTAGGATTTTTCACTTAGGACTTTGTTGTGCACCGTTCAAACAGGGAGCTCCTTCTCCAGTGTAACCGCGGATGTGGGTTTTAGTAGCGATGGCTGAGTTTTCCTAGGTATCTAGAGACGCATTTTTGTGATTTGGTATAAAAATTTCAACGCAATCTAAAATTTATGTTATGAGACTAATCATAAAACGAGTGCCTTAATTTGGCTAAATTCCCTTTTAGGTGAGATAAAACTTGCTTTTGATTGACGTGGAAGCCCAACCAAGAATACAGACGAGGCATTCCACTAAGGCGAGCATGAAAAGTAGGTTGACATTGTTCGTCATTAAAAGTTGCTACTCAGTGAGGTAAGTAGTGTTCTTAAAATCTGTGAGCCCGTCATTGAGATTACCTTTATGTGAGCAATGACGGCTTCCTGGTTGAATTTACCACCCAGGCATGCAACATTGGAACTCAGGTATGCGATGACAGTGTCCAACCAGGAAGCGAGCTTTCTCACCGAGGCGTCCAGACCGGCTTCGTGAGTCATTGGAGAGGTTTGCTGCTGTCGCTGGTCGGAACTTTGGGATAGCTGAAGAAGAGAAACATCGGCTTGTAACCTTGGGTTGTGGCGATTGGTCACATTCCTCTACCCAATACAACAATACACTCCTAACTCCTCTAATTCATAGATTTAATGAGATCTTCATGCTGCATGCTGTTATGTCTTATAATATGAATGTTAAACTCATTAGAACCCCTATGGTAAAATCATCAGGAAAATATGATGTCGCTACTCGATTAGGACAAAACTTATAAATTACGCATGTTTCTTGCATAATATATTTCAAGTTATTCGTAGAGACTGTTATTTAAAAATGCAGTTTCTTGAAGTCAGTGAATCTCAAGTTTGAGACTAGGCCTACTCTTCAGTCATGTTGATTACGGCTAGGATTATTAATGCTAAGCAGAATTATATTCTGTTTGATGTTTATAATCTTTGTAATCATTGAGTTATCGTCTGAATAAAAGGATAATTGCAAGACTTGCTTTAAGTTCATCTCCTATAGAATCACTTACATCCATGTTGTTCTCACCAATTCGAAGAAGCCGGCAAACGGTTTTCCATTCACTGAGACAAATTTGAATGCTGTCCACTACACCAGGGTCAAGTTGGGGAAAAACCCCGTATTGGTAGTTTTGGGGCGGTGACTGTGCGTCCGACAGTTGGGTTTCAAATGCTAACTCTACTGCCCGTAGTGTTTGTCCAGTGCCACTTCCGGCCGGATCGAATTCCCCTCGTAATTGCTCCTACATTTTGCAAAATGGAAAAGGTTAATTATAAGCGTTCCGGTTATCCGACTGTGCCGGAAAAATGGAATGAAGCTCACTGAACAATGCACGAACATGAGTTTTCTCGTCTGCATTTCACGATCGATTTCAAGGACCTGCCCTGCATAATCTCAGGTGACCTGGGATGCGGTTACTGGCGCTGTCAATGTGCCTAAATCGCTTTTTATTCTAGAACACTTTTCATTTGTTCTTTTTTGACAATATCCCTAGTTTTTTCGTATCTGAGTTGTGAATGGAAAGCAATAAGCCATCAGGGAACAGTACTGGTGGTCAATTTGCTGACTTCAACTCACATCTCACGTCTTGAATTGTCGTGAGAGCATGCGAGTCAGTAAAAAAGCATACAAACCTGCGACCTAAAATGGATCGACTCACTCAAGCTGTCTTCATCTGACGTGACTCATAGTTCATCACTTGCGTCATGAGGGTACATTCTACAACTTAGGCCTTGTGAGTTTACGACAAGCCCGTAGAGTCTGTCAATTATACCGCCTGAATGAAACGAACTTTAGGTTGGATTTAGACTTCTTTGATGGGGCTCGTTTTTTCGAATAATTCGACATCCTACACTCCAAGGTAGTGGTCATTGAACATTCAGTGTAATAGCATTTGCTCAAAAGCATTGTGAATGCAGGAACCAACTTGAACTTGACTCGAATGACGAAGCCCTAGCATTAGGCTTCGAAGACATGGCCATGTTGTATTTTAACAATATAACTACCCTTTCTGGTTTTTATTCAGTATTTTGGTTTAGATGGTAAGCTGAACATAGGAAATCGCAAATGCCTCCTCTACCTAGATTTTACAACATCATGCAACTCAAGAGCGGTCAAAGAACTTAGAAAATACCGAGCAAGCCTCTGAGGTATTTGCTCTCTGAAGGCGCTGACACTGAGCAGCATCCTCGCTCGCCTACCAGAGTACGATTTTTTATGAAATATGAATCAGTACTTTTTTGAAGTGACACACTACCGGTGACGATAAGTGGATATCTTAGAAGAATGTTGTGCGAATCGGCAAAAAGGACAGACCATGGGGTTCCCATAAACATTATCTGAAATGCGCCTTATCAGAAGGACATTTTACAAGGCTCATGAATTCTGGATGAGAGGCTTGTACACTCCGAACTGACCTTGTAGTACTAATCCTCAATGACTCTTATTACCTTTTTTTTAAAACAACCAAAATTAAATCTCTTGGGACAATCAGGGTTCACCTTGAAAACTTTTTGTAAATAAACGTAGAGGCTATTGGAAAAAAGCAAACTGCTTGCCTCTTAAGAGGTAAAAGTTATCAAACAGCATGGAAAATGAGACTAGTAACATTTTAACCTAATTTCTGGTGAGACATTAAGCCTCGTTCTATGTAACCTGAAGTAACATTGATGATCCAGTAAAACAAAAAGCAAGTGACAGGTACCACGGCAAATTACAGATCCATTGTTGAATTTATCACGTCCATTGAATTTAGGATTTACAGATTTTAAGACGCCCATGGCTTACAACATTAAGTGAGCGTTGCATCTAGTGTTACAAATGATGTGAAGGTAGTTTCAGTCAGGTACGTAGATTTGTTTATTGTTATATTTAAGCAAATTTGAAGCCCAAATGTCAATTTGTTCATATTTTAGTAATACAAATCATTGGTGAAGGACAAAAAGGCAGTTCGCTTCCCTTTCCTCATTTGGTAGCACAAATCTGAAGGAGTCTGCGAGAAAATTGCGAGAAAATATAGTATTCTTGGGGTCCATTTAATATGGATTCGTGCAATATTAAGTGCAATTATTGTTCTTTTCGTTTAAGTTATAAAGTACAAAAAATACCTGGCAGTGATCAAGTCACTAGCATAAACGTACCAATTCTTTCTGGAACATGGGGGAGTCAAGATTTGGTGAAGACATCTGGAGCCGCTTCCGAATTGTTGAAATCCACACAGGCAGTGTCTGTTCCCCTCCCTTATCCACCTCCTCTCCATCAGAATCCATCAGCATTGCGGCTTCAAAGGTAAGACAGGTAGATAACCAACTAGCCAAACGTGTCCGACGTCGATTAATGATGCCGCGAGCCGATTCCATGCATGCGTGAAGTTCGTCAGCTGCTTCGTGGAGACGCCGGCGTGTCTCAGAGTCCTCCAGATCAGCGCTCAACTTCTCGGAAATGGTACATAGCTGTCCGGAGCGCCTTTCATGTGTTTTTAGTGCGCCGTCCAATTTCTAAAGCGGTTAGTGTTTTCAGAATTTGGTAAAGTTGATTTAAATGTCTCCCGAAAATTCAGCTATGATTTTAACGAAAATGTAGTGAGATGTACATGCATACGAAACGTCTTTGCTTTAGTAATATATCGTTTATCTGCGGCCTCCTCTTCTTCCTGGCTAGGCCGTGTCACTGTAGGTCGTTCAGCCTCGACATGGTTCAAGTCCACATACCGAGGCCTTCAGCAAGAAAATTTGAGGACATTTGGGGATCACAAACTCAGTTTCATTACCTTTGTCAAGTTGTTAATAAACAACGTTTGTAATTATTTTTAGTGTGACCTTAGTTTTCCTTGAAAGGACTACAAATTCCTGACTTATCATCCAATTTTGATGGCCGACCAGATCCATGCAGAAAAAGCACTACTGAACCAATTTTTCCTGGATGAACTGAACTCCCGCATTGAATTAGGAAAGTCCTTAAGTTCACGAATCAGCCTACTACGACTTAGGACCACAAGAGATTGAGAATAAACCATTGCACACTAAAATTTGAGATGCCTAACAGAAACAAAAACAGAGGACATAGTTAATGACTCACTGATAAGTCCTGCGCCTTCCGTTTAGCCCACTTTGAGCACAGCCGTAGAGGACCGGCAGCCCCAGGTGGGAGCCAAAATTCCCCGTCTAATTTGGATATATAATTCGTCGGGGTTTCGACCACTGGCACGTAAAGTTGGTTTTCCTCAAGCCAAATGAGCTCTTCCTTTAACCGATTCAGACAGGCCTCAACGTTGGTGACGCCCAAATCTTCTGATCTGCCTAGGGACTGGTTTTGTGGACTGAATCGAAATCAAAACATAAACAATGCACTAGTCTTACACGTGACATTTACAAAAAATGGCAGATACATGTGGACAGTGGGTGACAGAGGCACTAGAAATCCGCTTAAATGTTTTGTGCGAATCGGCTTGTAGTCAGCATTGTCTCAGTCCCTTACTTCTTTGATAATTCCGAGTACAATCAAAAGCTAAATTTGACCCTCCTCGTTTATTAGTGCTGGCTCATTTGGTTAATAAATGTGGGTCCTTTAACGTTTTAATTAATAGACATTCCTTAGCAGCATGAATTTGTGTGATCCGGGTTTAACGCATTAGGATAATCCATCAGTTGAGGGGTTCAGCCTTCTAAAAGTTTGCCGAGCCAAGGCAAAACACCTATTAAAGTTAAATTTGGCTAAATGCTGAAAGAACCCAGAAAAATTTAAACTTCGCCTGCTTTACCTGAACATTTCCCCATGAGGGCTCACTTACCAATAAGAGAAATCAGTAAGATTTTATCGGAAGGTCCGCTGATGATCAGCTTAGGAGGGATGATTTTAGTGGTTCGAAATTTAATTTACAATCACGTTGAAACAGGAAGTAAAAATTGTTTTATCGGAGATGACGTGGTACTTTTTAAGAGGATGTTCCAGTATCTTAAAAAACCAGTATCAATTTCCGTCTAAAGCACACCTTTCTAGATTAACATGTAAGGCTTTTATTTTAATCGAATTAGATTACATTTTTACGCGCTTAAGGTCATTTCTAGGTTTTCTAGCATTTCTTTTTTTAAAAAGCGGAACCAATAATTTAGGTTACCTCATAAATCTTGACAGTGGCCTTCGACTTAGAAACGGACTCTGCAGTGTGCACCGTAAAAACGAATTTCATTTAAATCCTATCAAATGTCTTTCCAGATGTCACAAACATATGGTGAACTCTTATGTTTTCCACAAACCGCAAACATTGAAATGCGCACAATTTTCTGGCGTTGCATTTGTGTTAGTCTAAATTTCCAATGGAAGTGTTGAACCTGCAGTTCTTTAATAAATGTTGCATAAGACTAGTCAAAATATTGCAATAGATTCAAGAAAATTAACGAGTAAGTGTTATTCGGATATTACTGTCTGCCTATTTAAAATAACCCAAAATACTCGTCTTACAAAGTTGTTTCCAAAACGCCATCAGTATCGCCAGATGAGTCGGCCTTGCCGGAGGTGTGTGACTCCAAACTTGTGGCATCGATTCGTAAGTTTGGAGGTAGAAAGCCTTCGATGGCGTATTTTTTTGACAGTGTCCTCAAATCTCCAACTATCGCATCAAAGGTTTCGTTGACAAAGGTGACATCGTTTTGAAGGGTCACCTCGTTCCTCAAGGGTCGACGGGAACAGCGTTTGTCGAAAACTGGCTGCAGGTAGAGGTCTGAATCGAGGCCTTGACCGACCTCGCCTCGCTGAGCTTTCCATACGAGTTTGCTACCTAGACGCTGAAGTGTGAGAACTGAGGAGCAGATGTTCACGGCGTAATCCTGAGGGGATGAGAAAAAGCCCTATTAATCCCCAATTACAATTTTCGATTGGTGGGGCGAATTTGTAAAACTGAGTACAGTATTCAGCTGTTTACAGTAGGATAAAAAAAATCGAAGTCCTCGAAAACACTTTACCCTTGCTGATCCTTCACTAGTTTCTGTGTTGCCTTGGTCCTCAGAAGGTCGACGATCGAGATGAAGCATTGCGATTTGGTGTTTCTGTCGGATCGCCTCATTCATGAAAGACTGCCAGAGAAGGGCATACTCCTGCCAGTATCTGAAGACAGAGGAGTTTTAGTATATTTAGTTTACGCGTTTTTTCAGGCAAATTCTTCCTTCGACACCGTCTAAACGTGAGTAAATTATGAAATCTAGCTGTGTGAAACTGTAATGCTTATCCCTGGGTGTGGTGACAGGTGATGCTTTCTAATTGCCCGCCTCTGACGTCGCAAAATGCTTAAATCATGAGAACATTTGCAGGTCTGACAAATCGGGAAAGGAAAGCTGGTAATAAAACGCCTTTGGGGCTTAAGTCTCATGATCTTGTTGCAGCTTCCAAGCTGTTATCATGTCTCTGTGCAAACTTGACTTTTTGAGCGCAAATTGCAAACGTGCCACCCTACAACTACCATATTTCAGTGTCAATATTCCAAGGCAGTATTTAATAACCCTAAAAACTTACGGTCTGCATAGGTGAAATTCGTTACAGTACGAGTTGAGTCTGCCTTTCTGGGTTTCAAGAACAGCTTCGAGCCACAAAAGATTCCCGAGGAGTTCATCACCGTTGTTTCCACTTTCGTTACCGTCATCTGTGATGACAACTGGGGTGTGACCTGCTTTGCAGCGGTTTAAAATGTTGGTTGCTTTTGACGCTGCTTCCTGTGCCAAGATAAAGTATTGATCCAAACTCTATAAAAAAGTAAAACATTTTTTAACACCAGCAACAAGTTTCCATTGAGGTGTCTGTCTTCGGTAGGAACGAATCTCCGTGGTCTCGACGTAACGTAGTCTGTCCATAAATCCATTGACCATATTTCAATTTTTATAAGGATAGCTTTCTACGAAATATTCATTTATGATACCTCAAATTAGGTTCGGTGTTCTGCAAGATATGCAAAAGTCTGCCTAATAAGGGAAGGCTGGGCTTGATTTTGTGGTGTGGTCAGGAAGCTGACAATAAAAGTATGGTGGAAGTGTGTTGGACTCAGCTTTCATTAGACGCAACTCAAACTCAATTAAGTCGCCAGATATATTTAGTTAAATGTCATTGCTTGATGCAGCCTTTTAAAGTACTCAACTTATTTTAGCCGTGTAATCTAAGTGAATCATTTAAAATCAGCACTCAAACTATTCCACACAGAGTGTATAATGAAATCGTTAACTTTGCATCAAAACAGGGCTTTTTTACATGTACCTTCTGAAGTACTCTAGAAAGTGCGCCTTTGTCAACACCTCAATGGGCTCTGTTCCCCTAATTACATGGAGTATCGCATGGCTTACTTGGATTTGGCTTGATAGCTCGTGTGTGGGAATGCTTTGACAGGAGTGGAGTTCATCTTGAATCTCATTCAGTTGGGTGACGAATTGTTGGAGGCACTCACGAAAGGGCAGTAATTTGCGTAGAATGCAAGTTTGCTGAAGAGCGCTTGTCAATTGACGGGCTATTTCACCATGTTTATCGTCATCCAGACGAGCCCTATCCTGTGTTAGGCTCCAGTTGTATGTCCCTTCCAACTGGGTTATATAGGTGAGACAAGTCTTACGATTTTTGTCAGTGGGCAGTCTCTGTAGTGAAACAATGAAATCAGAATTAGAAAATATTAGGGGACAACTGCCTTTTGATGCTGAATGTTTATTCGCAAAGGCTTATATACAATTGCTATAGTTGGACTCTATTCATGGAAGTGGGATGGACGCGACCAACTAACACACAACCCGCTTTGTTCTGTGATGTCGTACCCAATAACTGCAAGCTTGTAAGTTTATCTCTCGTATGTTGCCACGACTATCTTTTGGTTTTACATCCCATGATTTAAGGGCTTTTCTACTTGGCAGTCATCGAAGGACATTTTTACTATCTTTATTGTGTTTAGATAAAAACGACTTTCAAAACTGACTCCAGGTACAGACCATGAGCCAGAGTACGATGAATTGTGCTTGGCATCTAATCACTTCTAGTAGAGGCTTTAGGAAGACAGTAGTCCCTATGATTTCGTCATTATCTTAAAAATGACTTGTCAATGTTAATTCTGGGTGAAAGTAGCGCATAAACACTGCTTTGACATTTCCGTTTGACTTATGGCAACTATAAACGGCAGGAAACGACGTAGACCAGTGAATCATGAATTGGCAAATGCGTTGTCTGCCAAACGATGCACCAAAGTAAGGGGTATGTAAAATACAAAATACATGAATCCAGATCTCGAAGCTCTTTTCAGGAGAGACCGAACACAATTCGTCAGAAGTCGACAGCTTTGGAATGTTGATAGTCACCATTTACTGTGTTAACTAGAGGGTTGTAAGGTAGTGCTAATAGAAGTCAATTCTGATAGTGTTTACTTGTTTGGGCAAGGGAAACATGGTTTCTTTGGATTTTTTAGATATTCATTTCTTTGGGTGGATCTGAGGGCATCAAAAAAGATGTGACTTTATTCCAGGTCTCAGGATTTTTTAAAAGCATGGAAGGACTTCACTCGAAAATTCGTGAATGCTTTCGCAGCTGGTTACTGTGAGAATATAATCCGTTGAGCCATAGATTAAAGGGCTTACTCTGACGTTAACAAACCGACTTAGTACATAGGAATAGTCTTGCCAAGACGAGGGCTACTGAACGTCAGTCATACCGAGATCGAAAGACTAAGAACCACGGTTTTAAGAGCAGTGTAATTGCTGTGAAGCCGAAATTTTTTTGGTGCGACAACATATCGCAAACGAACAAAAGCTGTACAGTAGGCTGACCATAGAACCAGGTGTGAAAGGCATTTTTCTCTAAGGTGGTACTGCTGCCCGATTTGGCGATAGGAAACTGACATTTATTCGTGAAGGGGATGCTTGGACTCAAATCTGCTGTGAATCAAAACACTAAACTAAATCACACTCAGTGTGCAGAACATCGCGAAGAAGTAATGTAAAGTGTGGGACTTAAAAATAATGAAATTCTCATCGACGGAGGTGCTTAAGGATAGACTCAACACGCAGAGAACAAAGCGGAGAAATACAACAAGATAAGCACGACGGTTTGTCGTGTTTCGTGTAACTCTAGAACGTTGGTCGTTCTTTTGTCTTGAAACCAATCAGACTCACATTCAATTCTTCAACAAAACGGAAAACCCACACTGATCATAGATTCATGATCAGTAGTGTATTTTTCAAACTAGAAGACGAAAACTTACACAAATTGATTCACCGCTGTTTAGTAAGCAAGTGGTCTGAATAGTAATGTACGGTAATGAAGATCTGCTAAGACAATGTGATAAAAATAAAATGAAACATCTTTGTTAAAAACGAACACAAAACCCTTCCATCCAAGAGTTTCCCAAATAAAATCATTGGAAGCAGATTCCTTCAATATTAGTTATAACGATTTAGCAACACTTAAATAACCTTTTACACAAACGTTGGGGCAAAATCCAATTTCGTATCAAATTCGCATGATTGATAACGCAGGGAATAACTTTTTATAAATGTAAAACCGGAGCAAGTATTTGGCAAGGGAGTATATATGTAGATCGTTGTTTCGACCATCATGTCGGTTGCCTGATTAAGCCCTAGGAGGTCTGATTAAAGAAAGGCCCTCCAAAAGGCGTGTGGCTTGAAATCGCCTGTTACAGGTGGAACTCAGTGGATATGATATGGATCGATTCTCAAGAGACTGTCAGCGGGGGCTTATCACGCACAGCCAATCACCGCTCACGCCCACACGACCACGACAGCACGTGATTAAAGGATTGTGACCGCCTGCTTGCGTGGATTCCACACGACCTCTGTAGACCTAAATGGCGAAGTGAGTGGAGAGCCATCAAATTAGGACAACCGGCACACAAAGCCATAGGTCCCAATTTAACGAAATAAATGAGGGCATAAACTTGTGAATGTGGGCGCTGGAGGGGAAGTCTACTGGGCAGAAGATGAAAGCCACATGTTGCCGAATCTAGGAAGATTTTTGTTAGATGATTTGTAGATTTCTAACAATTTATTTTAACGACTAGTTCTCAAACGTGAGATATTCGTAAGTAAGTTCGTAGATGTTCTCATCAAGCCATGAGCACGCTGCTTTCAATTTCAACAATTTCACTTTGGCCTAAAGTCTCACGAGTAAATTTTGGTTAAGAGATTTTGTTCGCCTTGGTCTGTTCATTACGCAAAACATTTGTGTACATGCTGATGCACATTGCCACACAGAGCGAACGGGTCTTGTGCTGAATCAATGGTTGCGTCCACCTTGGTGTGTCGTTTCATGATCGTATGTTAAGAGGGAGTGGATTCGCAAGGTAATCTTGATAATTTCTGCAGTTCCGTCAGGAATACCACGATAAACATGTGGTCACAAGAAACATGCCAGAAAATGAACCAAAAATGCCTGAAGAAAATTTATAGCTTAAAACTAATTACCTCATATTTTGTAAATGCTTCTTCGGCATCCTTCAGCGTTTTCGATAACTGGTTGATTTGCTCATTTTGCCAGGAAAGGTGGCCCCTCGAATTTGCCCAAAGTTTCTGAGCAACGAAGATGAAGGGCGTTAAACACATCAATTAATCATCAAAAAATGCACAAGATGAGAATACTAACCTGTACTTTTTGAACCATATTTCTGCTCTCAATTGGAAGAACATTCGCGGCTTTTACTAGGTCATTCAGACGAGACTCCAGATATTGAGATTGTTGCTTGAAATACTAAATATGACGAAAATGAGGCTTGGTAAGGAAACGATTATCATCAAAGCAGCTTCAAAGCCATTTCAAACCGTAGTTCTCCTAAACTATGCCAAACGACAAGGCATTAATGCAATACAAAACCGCTGAAAGCAAGGCTAAAATTTTAAAGTGAATAGCTTGTCACTTTAAACAGGAGAAATTGTGAGGAATTTGTCTCGAGATAGAGGAAGCAGCTAATTCCATCGAACAATTACATAGGGGAATGCAACTCTGTTCAGTTCTAGCATGACCGTATGAATCACGTTGTCTTGTAAATAATGCATTGAAAAGCAGAATTCAACCAGGATCAACGCCTAGGCGAAGTTCTAAGTGTGGCCTTTGCAATGGAACCTACCTATTTTTACTGCGATTAGGCACAACTGCGTTGTACCGTTACACATGTGACCCACTACCCCTTTCCAACCACGCTAACATGTACCTCCCTAATGTTCAGAGAAATACCAGGCATTTTAGTTGAATCACCCTTGAGTAATTTAGTGGTAAAACTGCTCCTCCATAAACAATTTGCATTCGGTTAGGGACTTTGCCCGTAAGGCGACATCAACAAGCTTTTGATTCCGTTAGTTGGTATGGTCTCTTCCACAGTTCCATGGAATCGAGATCGTACGCTTTGTTAATCAACACCTAGTGTCAATTTTTTTCCTAAAAGAATACTACCACCAACCAACTATCGCAGATATATTCTGGCCGAATTTGGTCATAAACCAGTTATGAATTAGGTTTATTAAGACCTATCCAACTTAGCCCTTTAGAGCAATACACTTTGTAAACAAACCAAATGCTTCCTAAGGAACGAAGACCTTAAAATAATTCAAGTTCAGACTTTCTTAAGTAATATCTCCATACCTGTTACGAAATTTTGTTGTGTGGGTAGATCAAAGGACAAAAAATGCCATAAAACCCACTGCACTGGCAAGTCTTCAGCTTTCATTGTTCATTCAACAAGCAAATAACACTTCATTTATTTTGCCCACTACGTGTTCTTCACATACTATTCACAGTGTGTCGTGCAAATAGGTTGTGGTTACTCGTGTTAGTATGGAACTTTTTCTTCTGTTATGTCAGATTATTCCGACAACAATTTACTAATGCTAACCCTGTCGTGCGACAAGAATAAACCCAGCAGCCGAAGGACTCTACCTCAGCCACTTTTGCCCTTTAGACAAGTTGAGCGTTACAATGTCCTCACTACGCAGAGCAACACTGAAGCAGACGTCTGAGAAAACTTGCTTCTTATGGTGGCAGTTCCAAAAGGTTTAAGTTGGGGGGAGGAAACAGAAACCTATTAAACATTCATATGGTCAACACATGTAAGCAAAGGTCTAAGGCTGATGACTTGAAATCTAAAACGGGCGGTGCGACGAAAACTTCTGCAGATCCAGGCACAAGGAACTGCAGTTTAGATGTGTAGCAAAGGTGCGTTTGCAATGAATACAAAAGTCCGAGTTAATTTTGTTAGTGCAATGAAGTGACATTTGGGTGGTTGTCAGGTTTCCGATACATCGTTGCCGGCGTTCAACGTGTTGCACAGAGTTTAAAAACTAGATTTTAAGACACAGTGAAGCAGAACGCTACTTGAAAAAACAGAACATATCAACCACCGTAATGTTAGGCTGCAGGACTTGAACTTACGTGCTCGTAGAAGTTCAGATAGATCTGGATAATTGTAAAGAACGCGAATATTTCAGAAATCATTTAGCAAACTTCACATGATGTTACTTTACCGGCTTTGTCCGTTTTAAATGATTTGCATTTTATAAGTGTTCTGTTAGTAGACAGCTGGATTGTAAGAATATAGCACAAATCCCAAGTCAAAACCACTCAACGAACAATAACCACGTAAGTATGGTAAATACAACTGCACCTAAGTTAATTCGTGCAAATATTCTCATGCTGTCTTCATGATTCCTTCATAAAATTGTCAAAGCAAAAGTACGTGTGCCTTTGTCAATTTGAAGTTGAAGGATTGCGCTGTAAAGTAGTAATGAGAATTCCTAAACCCTCAACGAATAGATTAATTAACTAAACTATGTTTGAAAAGACGAGGCATTTTTCGACTTATTTTTGAAAAGAAATCTCAGAGACAATAAACGTCAATTTGGGATTTATCAGGTAGGTTGAATAATGTTATGGCGTATGGTTTGTACGAGTTTCAGAATTGGAGTGTATTCAGTTTAGGCTTACCGATTATGCTTAAGTACCATATAGAAAATCCTGGATCAGCTAACTTGCAAATGGAGTGGTCCATCGTTGGTAAGGTCAAGGACGGGTTATGCTTTCCAGTATAGATAATTTTGTAATCAAAACCGACAGTCCAATAAATGTTTTCATTACCCAATCTAACTGACGTCGCTTAATTACTACTGGTAAGAACAGACAATATCTGATATTCACAGGGAATAATTTCTAGCCGACTGAAACTGTAATGAGTCTATTACGAAAGTACCAGGTATTAATACGTAAAGTTTGATACAAGCAGCAGAAACATGAAAGAAGATCGCAAATTTCATAGTGCATAGCTTAATATTGACAAAAACAAAGGAATTCAACAGACGTTTCCCGTGTTCGCCTGATAAGAACGCAAAACAATATGTCAAAGCTGGACAGTTTATAAAAAATCAATTCCATTACAGAGACGCAAGACGACTCAAAATTGGCAAGGTCACGCCACCAAACGTGAAAACGGCCAACACCAGGTTGGCATAGGGTAGACCACAAAGAAAGTGAGGGTCCACATAGACGGAGCTATATATCATAAACTTGGTCAAGCAGACATATAAACGTCTACCCAGAATAGCCTAGAATATGATCAAAATGCACTGAAAACCCCTTAGGTGTAAAACGTTTACGCCCGAATTGATTGGCTTGGTGATAAGAAAGACGCCAGAAACTAAGTTTCTAATATTGCTGTTGCTTACAATTCCAAGTCCATAAGTACGGAACATGGAAATAAATCCACTATGTCCTCTTTGTTCCAAATTGCGATGAATCAAAACGAAATTTACTTTGTTTCCAAGTGATTAAAAACGTGTTTCAAGGAAAATTAGAACCAGGAAAAGTTGTTTTCCATTCGAAATGTGGTTACAATCAACCATTCAAAACAGGAAAATATTCTTACCTCAATTTTTTTAGAACATGCCGTGATGGAAGTCTGCAAGGGTTCGCTTTGGGCCGCTGCTGTTGCGGATTTAGGAGGTTGATCCAGTTTGACACAGTACTTATTAAAACTAGCCAGATCTTCAAAGAAACTTCCCATCTCCGCTATCAATTGGTTCGACCTTGTGTAAAGAGTCGAAAGGTTATGGTTATTTGTCTCCTCCTGAGGGCCGATCTCCTGTCCTTCAACAGAGGCCACCTGAAAAGAGGCAAAAAGCTATTCTTAACCGGGCCTTGGAACTTCGTAATCAATACCTGACACCGTGTATTTACTTTGTCCAAGCAGAAAAATTTGTTTATCATAATTGCGAAAGGTCCAGTTAAATAAAATACGTGACCTGGCCGATATGTTAAAGAGTTTACGTTCTTCTGACCTTAAGGCAAGCATGCAGATTGATTGTCTCAACTTTCACTCTTAGTAAAAAGGTGAAAAAAAGAGCCTAAAATCAGGCTAAGCATATGTGAAGATCTGACCTGTTTAAAACATTGGTAGCTCATACATGTGCTAAGGATTTCAATATAAATTGTATTTTGCGAATCCAAACAGATAAAATGGATGTAAAAACTTTAAATTTTTCCCATTTTTGGGGAACATTGTAAAATTTTCCAGCAAACTACATAAAAGTGGCTTTTGTTCTAGGAAGAGAGAAATAATCAAGGTTGACGTGGATGAAAATTCCAATTTTGATGGTGTAACAATAAAACAAAGATTTTGATTACAGTATAAAGCTTTATTTAGCGAATGATACTCCACACCTTTGACAGCATTCTATATCAAGCAGGTATAACATGGGCTTTAGAATAGTTTGCTATATGTGTTTTGCATGAAATTTAAATTGAATTTGTTTATCCGCTGAATAATTAAATAAAGAAAAATGATTTTAAGCCACAAGTCTGGAAATACCTAGAACTACAAGATTTCGATAAGCAACTGCACGTTTTCTATGCACTTAATAGGTAGTGGTACATTGTGCAAATATATCGGACATTGAGTATGCCATAAGTGTAATGCATACCGCTGAAATACTATATTGGTTTTTGATATTATCACCAAAAGGCTACCCAGCTGATGTTTATTGAGTGATGTTACACATGTTTCTACAAGCAAAAGTACTACAGGCGTTTGTATGTACACTTGGAATTGCAGAAACATCCCACAGTGAGATTACACTATAAATTAAAACCATAGTACATGTAACAATGAACCACTAGATTAGAGACAAAAGAAGTGAACTAGTGTTTCTACTGCCTTCAAGTTTCAACGTCATTAAAACCCGGCGTTACTAAAGCCACGCACTTGTACGCCTTGGATTTCAACTGGATGTTTTGAAGGCAGCGGAATTTCCGTGTTTTCTGTAATCGAGCTCTCACTTGACGCCGTCTTTATTCCATCGATCTGCGCCCGGAATGCAGTGCGGGCAGCAAAAGCCTTATTGATAACCCGGCGCACATCGGCAATAGTGCTGGATAAACCGTCAACAGGGGTCGCCTCAGACTCAAGCTTGGTAAGAAGTTCTTCAAGCTGTTGAAGAGGTGGTTTCTTGACATCTGAGACGGAACCATCTGCTGTAGGTAAGACAGCATCTTTTTGTTCTGGTCCTAACACTTCCGAGAGTTCTGAGTGCACTTGCTGAAACAAAAAGAATTGCAGAAACCAAAAACTGTCAAGTTTGAAAACAAAACAAAAATGATATAGACAATGTGACGTTAAGTAAGGTCTTCAAAACACCATCTGCAGGATATCAACAAAAATAGTCAAAAATTGTGCTTTATGATGGAAAAAAGTTGCAAAAACACGCAAGACAAAGCACTTTTCCGGTTTTGGCGGCTATTACATAATGAATAATCTACAATCGATCGTCAAATGGATGATTTAAGACTTCAAATCACACATCACCTTCATTCACTCCCTGTAGTACAAACCTATTTTAAGAGATTTGTTTGCATCCACCGTGACGATTACTGTATATGAAGTCTACCGTTGGGGCAACGTTAAACAACTACGAAAAAAGGACTAGTCGCAGCGCATTTCAAACTGGTATATGAATGCCTCGACTGCTACTCAACGCACGTCTTATCAGACACGATGCTTCCACTTCTCAGCACATTCGAGGTCCGAACGACATCTAATTTGCAGTTCATGCTAATTGCAATTCAGCTACATCTTCACCATGCACCGCACCCATTTGTGCACCAATTCACAAAGCAGGTCTCCTGCTTCAACTCCAATACAAAACTTCAGTTTTCCAATGCTCCATTCGAACCCACATTTCCACGACTGTAAAGTGCATCACCAGGCAACAAACGACAACTTACACAACAGTGCTTACATTGGTCATGATGCACGGCTTACAGATCCTTCAGACCCACCATACATTTCCACCCTCCCTCTCTCTCCTCATTTCATTTCCACCGCAAACACAAATTATAGACAAGCCTTTCCTGGTCATCGACTACTTTGTTAATTTGGATTCCTCACTTCAAACACACCCACACTAGATGTCAATGCACTAGGGAGCGTACACCCTTTCGCATGCCTTTCCGTCGTGTCAAAATGGTGTGTTGTGGAATCGAATTTCAAATCGAAGCTCGCTTGCACAAACAAGAGAGTGGTATTTCCAAATGCCACTGAAAGCACGTACAACGGAGTGACTTGACGGCATATTAGCAGTATTATTTCAACTGCGGTAAGGTGAGATTTAACAAAGGCTGTGATAGTCCATGAAATTTCGCACCTCAAAGCCGTCACGCCACGGGTTTGCCTTAGTGAACTCACTCAAAATCAGCTTCACCCACTTCCACCTACATTGGAAGTGTCTAATGGAGGTGTTGGCAAATGAAGTGCGCAAAAATAATGGCAACAACCTCATTTAAATCAGTAGTTCTTGGAAATTGAGTGACAGATACCAATCACTATGGACTTTACTCTGGCGTTGATATCTTCCCACATCACTGGTGCAAAGCGTTTTGATGATTCGAACAATGCCAATTCTGCTCATGCTCGCAGCTTTTAAGCCTCATAGCTGGTAATCCGCAATTTACGATCTCTACTGCTGTCCACCGACTTTTTAATATTTGTACTTTTGGGTCCAGAAACATGTAAACCTCTCAAACGAATAACATCGTTTGCATCCACACACAGTGCCGTCCATTGAGCCTTTTCTAAAGCTTCCGATTGTTGCTTAGATGCGCGTCTATTGATCGGCACCGTCTTCACACAGTTAAGCTGGCCCTGTGGTTTCTTCAAGATTGCATCAAGGGCCCTGATAGGCATGTTTTCATTTGCCCCAACCAGATCCACATCTTTTTTTAAATACCTGCCATTTACGAACAATAGCATTTGAATTGCGTAGTTTGCTGAGATGAATAACCACAGCGTATGAAGCCCATTTATCCCACTTTGAATGTTATCCATGGGATTTGTTTAACATTAAAACGACTACTAATCCTCCTAACAATGCTTTAAGCCAGCCTAGTAGCCTGTGTTACTGTCAACAACTCGGTTCACTACGGCATAGCTCCACCCTGTGAATGAATGTCATTCTTTACAGACAACTTGGAATTTGTTGTGTTTACAATCTAGTCGCATTTCAAAGTGACAGTAGCACTTATGTAGACAACTGGTTTATGTTAGATATAATTATCTCTTTGTTTTAGGCTTGAACCTTGAATTTGTTGAACCCCATGCAGCAGTTTTTCTTGTGGTGCATTTCCTCAACAAACGCGGTGTCGGCCATGTGAAATTGATCCGTGAATTGAGTATTTTTTATCTTACTTGTATGATTGGTGTCTTGTTCACAAGTCTATGCCAGAGTGGAATTAACATGACTTGTACCAACTTGTAATGTTTTTAAGTCTTAATGTTAAATTTAATCTGGTCTCTGTTTGGGGATTCAAGCTTTTTCACTGAAGAAAAATATCTCGAACACTAGCCAGGAATTTTGATATTTTTTTTCTAGATAATTGCTAAAGTTTGGCATATTTTTATCAAAGTCATTCTATTTTAAATTTGAAGAAATACTTTATGCATAAAAGCCCCAAAACTTAATTTAAAATGTAAAACTTACACAAACAAACTTTGTACTTGTTAAATTATCTACGCAAGTCATAGCGGACATTTATAGTTCATTTTGAATTTACCTGAAGCATGTCTATGTGGGAGACCTGAGTGTCGGCTGTCTCCAAATAATCTGTAACTTCTTCCACGTTCATCATAACTTGTTCCAATGGATCAATAATCGCTGAATATTGGTCGGCAAATGGCTGCAACTTTTGGACATCTCTTTCAAATCGTTTAACCTAGAATTAAGTTTCTAATACATTTTAACCGCCATGACACAGCGGATAGCAAGCAAAAGTAACATAAGAATAAAACCATAATCATAGCAAGGCACTTAAAGAAAACCACCAGCATTTCAGGCTTGACAGAAGCTAGTTTGCTATTTTTCGGTCTTGTCACAGACTGCCTAAGTGTCCAATTTTGCCATCAATTTAGTTCCTTGGATGTTTATTCATCTGAGCTACTTAAATCGCAAATAAAAATTTAGATTTAGGTAATCAGGTTAGAGGGAAAAAAACTTGTCGAATGTGGTTACAAGTACTTACATGTTCGTAGAGCTTGGTGTTTTTACTATAGAGATCGTTGAGTTCCATCAGCAAATCTTCATTGCAGGCGCTTAGCTCAGGTCGGATCTGCATTGAAGATACTGTTGATTGTAAACCGCTTAACAAGTTTTGTGTGTCCTGAATGCGATTACACAGATCTTGGCTCTTCTTTACAAGACCTGAAACGTGCTCACTGGCTAGAGAAACGACTTCCAGATTGATGGCTGAAACGTCGTTCTCCCGAGTGGCCTCGCGACAACATGCTATGGAGTCCTGAACGTCAGTTGGGTAGGTGAATTGCAAAAGGATTCGTTTGAAGTTGGCTAATTCCGCCTAAAAGTGAAAACATCTAACTTCATTGATCGATCGTTCACAATAGGTCGGTAAGTCATGGATGCAGTACATCACTGAATATTTGATACAGTACCTACACAATAAATCAAGTTGTGCACGTAGCCTTTGCTAGTCTTCCTTCCCAGTTAGCATTGAATTAAAAATTTATTCAAAGGTTTAACCATAACTACTATCGCTGATATTCGAGTGTAACCACAAACATTTTGGAAAGTACGCTAACTTTATTTACTAATGCACATTATGAAGAGAGTTCTATCAAAATGCATAATATCTATCTCTCTTGATAAATTTCAAAGAAAATGTATCATAGTCTAACCTCAGTAAGGGCGTGACTTGTCTGCATTGCTTTGGGGTTAAAACCCGCGTATGTGATTCAAGTGCTGCTTAACGCATGAGCCATTTACACTAACGTTAATTTACTTTTCTAGAATGCAACTGTTTTGCAAAACACTCTATCCATTTCACTAATATATCATTTGAATATTTTGTAAAAGTGTGAACAAATATTTGAACTCTGAACAGACAACTACCATCTGACAATTTAGAGCCAACCTTGTCTGAGAAACCAAGCAAAAATGCGTTTCGGCTGACCGAATTCTGTCACAACACTTAGTGAGTAGGCAGCTTCGGTGTAGGTCTTAATTTCGGCATTGGGCATTTTTTCACACACCGATTGTCAGACAAAATTGTGTAAAGGACAAAGTTTTAAGTCAACTGAAGTGGTTTTAGGCCTACACGAACATATCGTGAATCAGGATTCAAGCACAATGGTGATATTTATTTTGAACGCATCGTTTTTACGGATATCTTGTACCATGCTCACTGAAAAAACAATGCATATTAATTATGAAATGTCACTTTATTGATTCAAGTGATTTTATTTAGAAGTTGTGAAGTCACGTTATGGGAACACAAGTTAAAATCAAAAAGTTAAAAGCTAATAAACCAATCAAAAAGAAGTTCCTAGTGGTGGGGACCGGAATGCAATGACAAGCTGGATTTCGCCAATCATTTTCACGTGGTCATACATTATAGAAATGACAATCATAGAAATGAAAACGCGCCTGCAGGTTTATGCGTCAGGACTAAACCAATGCTGTTTTTGTACCATTCCTACCCAGCTACACTAAAATACGATTTTTCGGTTACTTGTTGCCTTTTGAAGGCGTTTTCATGCATGAAAATTATGTTCCGTAAATGTTGAAATGTCCAGAAAATGTAGATTTGGCACCTAGTGAACTATTTTAATTCGATCATCCTTACATATTATCATGAGATGACTGGTTGAGACTACATTCCATTTACATAACCACTAATAGTAAAATCAAAATTACAGGGAAATGAAAGTACGGAAATAGTTTCTCTCGAACGGTCGCCTCTGATGTCAACTAAACCACATAAAACCAACAACTTTTAACGAGAGCCTTTGAATATTGCAAAGCTATCGGGTTCTTTCAGTTCGCATGCCTTGATTTATGGTCTTAAGTGACGAAATACCATATTTTTTTAATTTCAAAGGATATCGGAGCAACAAAGACTCTGATTATCTGATTGATTATACAAGTCTTATGCCAGTAATGATATGGTTTTTAATAAAACCTGTCATCATTTATGTTTGCAAACACCAGTCACAGTGATTGGACAGAAGACTGAAATCTAGTTTTTCTACTTTGAAAGCGCCAGAGGAGTGCTTGATTAAAGCTCTCACCATATCTATGCTATGTACACTAAAGACACTCATTTATTCTATCGACTTGATTCAATAGCCATTAGATGATAGCTACTGGAAAAATCATTACAAAACCATGATAGAGCGCTTTATTCAAAACTAACTGATCTCTACAACACAAAAAACCTCAACCAAGAACACTATATTCATCATACTTTGTAATAAGCACATGTTAGCCAACCTTAATGGTAGCTGCTCGTTCACCCAGACTATTAGGTTCCACTGCATTCCCTGGAAGGTTGTTGGTTCCCATTTCAAGCGTCGGATTGATAGTCGAGACCATTTCCTCCATGTTCGTGACATTCGCACACCAACTGGAGAATTCCTCGGGGTTTGAAGAAGCATTTTCACCATCCCGAAGTCGCTTTTGCACGATTGCCTCCGTTTCACGCAGCCACTTCTCGTATTCGGCCAGACGAGCGTGAGTATCCTCAGTTCTCTTTTTCAGAATTTTCAATTCCTCGAGGCGTTCATTAAGCTTTAAAAATATTGCGAAGGGAATCAGAATAATATATCTGCAGATAACTTCCAGAAAAGCATTTTAGGTAGGTATTTAGTGGCTTCGCTTAATGCGATAGGCAAAAAACCCTGACCACATTAGGTGGAAGAAACAGCCCGTTGTGCATTACGTTCGTAGTGAGTCATGTTGATTTACGCCCAATAGCTCGGTCGTCGCAGCCTCACCAACACGTCCCCCTTCTCACGGCGTGAGCGTCAGTCACGCGGGGCCACTGCTCATTCACCCCTGTGTATGAACCGCTTTTACCCGTTTTATCCATTTGGGCATTGAGGCGTTTGTACTTTTACTAATTCACCCAGGCTGTACAGTCATGCACTTACCTGAATGGCCCCACACAAACACGCAAATAGGGTTGAGCTATCCAGTAACCGGTTGTGCCTAGCCCTTCCCGGTCTCTCTCACCTTCGCTGGTATCAAAGTAGAGTAAGCGGAATAAATTAAGTACAGTGGCCCCGGCGTGGTCTGAGCCAACATGCCGGTGCCCTCAATAGCTTCATGGAAAGCTACAGTCCTTTGTTTTGTGATCTGAGGCATCGTGTTATCCTATGTGTGGACCTGTCTCCTTCATTCGTTCGCAATTTACTGTTTTCTGGTGTTTGCTGACCAGATTAGACGACACACTGAAAAGTCAAATGCAGAATCCCAATATCGTGGTAATACAAATAGGGAACATTAATGCCAACTTTAACCCAATTGAGAAACAATCTTACTCGTTGGAGAGCGCTGCTAACGTTGGCTGCGTAAGATTCGAATTCCGAGGAGAGCTTCTGGGCCATGGTGCTTTCGGAAGAAAGAAGCTCCACTATCTGCTGCAACCGCGCAAAATCGTCATCGGTATGTTCTGATTTCAAGTTCTCAAATGCCTACAATTTTGCCAAATTCATACAAAGTTAAGTACAAAGCATAAAATCAATCCGAGGCAATAAGTTGGTAAATTTTGACCACGACAGCACAGTTCCCTCCCGACCTGTGACTGATAAGTTGTTCACCGTCAAGTCCTGCATAATAATTTGTTAAAGTTTCCATATTCAAACTTTCCTTAAGAACCACATACCTTCTGCGTAAAAAATGGGCCAAATGCAGTGAACGGATAATAATCCCAGCCGGGATGCAAAGGTTAAAGAGCATATTTGTAAAGTTACAATTTCCTCTCGGTCAAAACCAGAACCTGAGGCCCAATCAGTATGAACTCGTCGACACTTGTATAATTTGATCATTTACAAAACCTAAGGCCACGGGCTATCAATATGGTGACGCTGTTGTTCGTATTAACCCCGATCAATTGGCTGTTCATTGGTCTATTTAGGCGCCTGGAATCTTGATTCGTTTGATGAAACCCCGTTGGAGCGGGTGAAACAGAAAAACGTTGTTGTTTTCTTGCACTACTTTAAAACTAATAGCTGCCAGTTCGGAATGAACCCGAGAACAGAGACAAGACAGGTGACAGGAGATACGACCGTTTATTTATGTTAAGACGGACAAGCGCGCCCTTACGTCAAGCGTGATTATCGATTGTCAAGAGCAATCAATGAAAGATGAGCTTGAGTTACTGACACCAGATTCGTCCTTAAGTAAGCTCATCTTAGGCTGACCATTTACTGCAAACTCACAAGACAGTGTAGGCCGTGATTTCAAACCCACATAGATTAGCGTTGCGATTCCGCGTCAAAAGATTTTACAGGATAGGTAGGCAACCCCTATTAGGTTAGTTAGCATTGATCTTCACTTCATGCACATTATGCATGCAATGTTAGAACCCACCTTTACGACTATCTGCGTTCGCAAGAAATGGGAAAAAATAACAAAAAATATAAATTTTATAAGCAAAACTTCGTGGCCATCAGCAGTAACGCAACTGACACACAGAAGACCGTCGCAACACATCGACTAAGAAAACATGACATCGGGGACCCAGCTTTAGATATCTCTACTCCTAGAGCCAGGATTGGGCCAACATAACATAGGCCTTTTGCATCTAATGCAAACGCTAGAAATAACCCTAACATAGTTGCTTAAATGTATGGACCTTTCAACAAGTGGGAAACTGTTGTCAAAGAAGCGAAAAGTAGAGTAAGTGAATGAACACTATTGAACGGATCTTATATGAATCATAGCTTCTACTTTGTTGCGGTCAAGGAAACCGTCAGATAATAACGTTGGATCGATGTCAACCCCAAGTGTGGAATCCTAGAGAGCTATGGTGAAAAAATGCAAAGCGCGACAGGTAACGTTTTAAACCTTGAATACAATCGTCGCCTATATGCCTGGATGGACAGGTATGTTAAATTCTGTAAACATTTGTTAACTACTGAAAACGTACAACATATCCGAGGTATAAAACCATAAAAAAACGTTCTCATGCGAGACCTTCTAATATCAGAGATAATATTTGCGAAATAAAATCTAGTGAACTGCGCTCGGCTGTTGACTGAATGTGTCACATCATGTAGCACGAACCGGGCCGTCGTTTAAATACCTCATTTAAAACCAACCATAACATAGCTTTTTAATGTTGCTACACCTACCGTTACTTGATATACAAATTAAATACGCTATTGCAATTGACAATTATGCGTAAGCATGGCTTGAAACTGTCTAATTCCTCATCAAACTTCCTAATAAAAAAGGTTCTCAAATTACAATAATTTATTTATGGTTCGATTTTTAAATATTGACGAAGTGAACTGTTGTCGATATCAGTAAAGAAGAAAAGTCCCTAACATCTATTATATAAGGAAAAAAACAAAAAAATGATTTAAATCTCAAGCCCAGTGTCCGAAGTGGAGGCTTACAAATTGTTTAAAACTCACCGTTATGTCTTCGCAGATATAGTCAATATCCGTATAATGGTGCTGCTTCGATCGTCTAATCGTTGTTTCAACGCGGTCTAACCAGTGTTTTTCGTACGACATCAGAGCTAAATTAAAAGTGGAACAGTGGTGCATTGTGAAAATGCACTTTACAGCTTGTCAAATGTTTAATCAGCGCTAAAGCGTTTTGACAACAAATTCAACCGAATTCCTAAAGGACGCTTTAGCGCATGAAATTGCAAATGTAATCATTCTCTACCTCCATATTCCGTCTTTTGTTTTGCTTGACAACATTTATGCTAAACATCAGTAACTGGTTCTGAGGTAGGTGCATTCTGTAAATTAACTCTGCCTAATGTTGTTATGCGGTTAAAAGACAAAAACTAGTCTTTCAACATAGGATATTCGATATTTTAATTGGTAAATTTATTTGCATCCCACACCTGGACAATTTTGTTTGCTGTTCTACCAAATAACGCAAATGAAGAATTTGTCTTCGCACGGTAGGCTAATCTTGGTTCTTCCAAATGAGTTCTGAATGACAAATATTTCATTACTCTTAAACTATCGAAAACGATTAATTCTTTTGCGAAGAAACTCACAATTAAAATCATTAAGGTGGTACGTGGCTGATTTAAGCCGCTCCTGACCAGCTGCATATTCTGACTCCAGATCTGCAAAGTGTCCAGAGAAAAGAAGGGCTGTTCTTTCGGTAACTGGCTTTCCTGTTGCGTCTGTGACTTGGCCGCTACGAATTGCAGCAATCATTGATCGCTTTGAATGCAATTCCTTTCCAAACTCCTAATCGAAATAAAATATACTTATATGTTGCTACCGTACATAAGTAAGTAATAAATAAATATTTACTTCGAGAAAATTTGCAAAGGCTTCAAGCTCATCAGCACTGTTGATTGCGTTGTATTTGGAAAGACGGTGTTTAGCCTTTGAAATCCACCTTTGGAGCTCATTCATATCCAGCATCTTAACGGTGATGACATTAGCTTCAATATCATCAGATTCCTTTCTTGGTAATGCTTGTTGAAGTAGGCGTTCATCACCTGTCACAGTGATAGGCGCCTCTTGAACCGAACAACCGGAAGACTCAACTGAAAGACTTCGCTGGTCATCTGGTGTCCTCTCTAAGCTTCCCGTCTCCTCCAGGGCGAGAGCTGTTTCTAGCTTTCTCCGGAGGAAGGAAATATTTTCGTTTGTAAGGTCCTTTATCCTATTCCAGGTTTGTTTCAACTCAGCCAGACGTCCTTTAATGCTCTACAAAGCAAGATGTTCTTCGAGTTAAATTACGCGGCACGCAGATTTGTAAAGGCTTGTTCACAATAATAAGAAGTTAGCCGATGACTCATTCCTTACGTGAACTTCTCTGCCCTCGTGACCCCTTTCATTCATGTGGCACGGACCGCCCCGATCAAACACAACGGTTCTTCATTTTACAAATGAAGCAACCGTACTATTATGTGGACTTAAGAGTTTTGACCACCATTCTCGTTGATGCATTTATACTTGGCCCAGATTAACCAAAAGCACAAATCTGAACTCCCGGACTGTCAATCTACGACACCTACCTCAATATAGGGTTGGGCAAAAAATTTCTGCAGTTGATCAACAGCATTGTCCATGTTACTCAGAGTCGGCTGCATCCTCTCCATGTCGCGGAGGGCCTCAACAGACTCCTGCAGCTGCGCTTCGATCGCGGCGGACTGCGAGTTGTTCGCTTGGGACACGGAATCGAGGTACTCAAACATGTCGGTCATCAGCTTTTCGAATCGCTCAAGCTGGTTCTGAAACCAACAACACCGTAACATTAAAGAGTTTTTAAATGAAGCTGGAAGTGCATTACAAACATGAATATTTTGTGATAAAGTTCTTTGGAGAGCAGCCGTCCGCTTGTCAATTTACTGAATAGGCTACTAAGCAAACT